GTATATTTTTGAGCTGCTCTCTCTCTCTAAGACTTACCCTTTGAAGATCGCTCGCCGTAGAACACCAGCATCTTGTTGTCAGTGCTTGAGTAACCTTCGTCCAGACCAAGACCGACGTTCATCTCCCGGAACACCTTAGTCTCCACCAGCCTCCCCATCCCGTTACCACCACTCACTTCCTCGTCTGTCCACAAACAAGGTGCATTGTCTTAGTTAAGGATGTACACGGACCTGTACACGAATACATATTTATATACTCTCAAGCAATGTACAAACACACACACAACACCGACACACTCACAATACTGACACGTACACACGAGAGAAAGACTGATGAAAAAATGGACTTTACATTGGGATTCTTGTGTAAATATATTGTGGTCGCGCAGTTATAGTTATGAGAAATAAAATAGAGACCCCAGGCACAGAGTCCAAAACAAAATGAATGAAAATACTTGTGAATTGCAAAAAATTTCATCTCTCTTCAAGTATATCACCAGCCTTATAGTGCCTTGCCAGTCGTTCATGTTATATACAGCACAAAGAGGAAGTTACCCACCAGGCACGAAAGTAAGGTGGATGGTACGGAGGAACTTGTGGCCGTCTTTCTTAAGTCTCTTGAGGGCTTCCAGGTACTGTATCCCAACACTCTTCATGTCCTGTGTTCCCCGCCCGTAGATGTTTCCCTCGCCGTCCTTGTGAGCGCTGAAGGGGTCGTACTTCCAGTGTTCCTAAGGACAGATTTACTTCATGATACCTGACAACCATGACGTCATCTATCACAGAAACGAGATGTGAAAGACAAAAGACATCCTTATTGCAGATTACGTGTCTCGTATTACAAGTTACAAGTAGAGACAGGATAAATACTGCCCTTTACATCCAATTCCTATTTTGTCTGAAACCAAATTTGTCCCTAATAGAAACTTGAGAGAGAAGAGTTGATGTTATAATGTATCACTGCGCTTCAATTGTTTAGATCTTCATACGAGTACCTGTATAGTAGATTAGTAATAAAATTAGCTATCAGCAATTAAAATTTATGAAAGATTATACCATAAACATAGGTACAGAGCAGCATTAGAAAGACAACTCCAGTCGTATAGTCTACAGTTACAGTTAATAACTTCTTATAAAAGGAATACAAACCTCTGAATGGTGATCACTTACCCACAATAGTAGTTGAATTAATTATGTTTATATTTCATGGTTTAATTCAGTCTACTTCGTTACATATATCAATTTCCGGTAATTCCTTCCTACAGGGTTGTTGACTACCGCACTATAGTTTGGTTACGGTTTTCGTTTGATTTACTAGTGCATCCCTTATTCCCTGAGTGAGTACAAACAGCTTACTCAATGACGAGATGACTAAAATGACATAGTTACTTATAATGAACTACTTATGATAGGATAGTTACTTATAATGAACGACTTATGAAGGGGTAGTTACTTATAATGAACTACTTATGACGGGGTAGTTACTTATAATGATCGACTTATGAAGGGGTAGTTACTTATAATGAACGACTTATGAAGGGGTAGTTACTTATAATGAACGACTTAAGAAGGGGTAGTTACTTATAATGAACGACTTATGAAGGGGTAGTTACTTATAATGAACGACTTATGAAGGGGTAGTTACTTATAATGAACGACTTAAGGGGTAGTTACTTATAATGAACGACTTATGAAGGGGTAGTTACTTATAATGAACTACTTATGAAGGGGTAGTTACTTATAATGACCTATTGTGAAGGGGTAGTTATTTATAATGAACTACTTATGAAGGGGTAGTTACTTATAATGACCTACTTATGAAGGGGTAGTTATTTATAATGAACGACTTATGAAGGGGTAGTTACTTATAATGAACGACTTATGAAGGGGTAGTTACTTATAATGAACGACTTAAGAAGGGGTAGTTACTTATAATGAACGACTTAAGAAGGGGTAGTTACTTATAATGAACGACTTATGAAGGGGTAGTTACTTATAATGAACGACTTATGAAGGGGTAGTTACTTATAATGAACGACTTATGAAGGGGTAGTTACTTATAATGACCTACTTATGAAGGGGTAGTTACTTATAATGACCTACTTATGAAGGGGTAGTTATTTATAATGAACGACTTATGAAGGGGTAGTTACTTATAATGAACTATTTATGAAGGGGTAGTTACTTATAATGACCTACTTATGAAGGGATAGTTACTTATAATGAACTATTTATGAAGGGGTAGTTACTTATAATAAACTACTTACAGGAAACACTGGCACAACGTCAGTATGAGAGTTGAGGAGGAAGGAGGGTAGTGTGGGGTCGTCTCCTACCAGAGTCATGATAACATTAGGTTTGCCAGGCACACACTCGATCACTTGACACGCCGCACCTAGTTCCTCCGCCTGACCACGAAGGAACTCCGTGCACGAAGCTGGAGTGTAGGAAAGATAGTGTATAGTATTTAATGTCAGGAATGTGTTGTTTATATATATATATATATATATATATATATATATATATATATATATATATATATATATATATATATATATATATATATATATATATAATATATATATATATAATTTTTTTTTTTTTACACAAGTGAATGTTGCTTTGGGTGTGTCATTTGTGTTCATTTTTATCTTTGTATATCAGTAAGGAGTGTGGTGGCAGAGCGGGTTCATACACGCCTTACCCTGAGGAGGGTGGCAAGACCCGCTCCCCGAAAAGTGCGAGACAAAATCCGGAAAACATCCAGTATCATTCACAAACGGAATCCTGTGCCATTATTAAACTACTTTTACATAAGAAAATAAGAATGGAGGAAACTGTAGCGGGCCTATTGGCCCATTCTGGGCAGTCCCGTTTACACCCAACACCTATTGCTCATATATCCATCCAACCTATGTGTGCACCTATTCAGCGTATTCGAGTTAATAATGATGTTTACGCTTGCGAGACCTCACTTGGATTACGCGGTTCAGAACTGATATAGAATCCCTGGAAAGAATTCAGAGGAGAATGATAAGACCGAGTATGGGGAGAGAACAAAACAACTCAGTGTTCCCACGGTTAAGTGCTGGCGATGTTCACCAGCTGGCCGTCTCTCATGTACTTTACAGAGATAGACGACAAAGTGTGACCAGTGTCTTTCTATCACCACAAATTATTGCAGTTTTATTCCGGACCTCTTAATTGGCAGCTTCTTGGTGTAAACACTTCTTGGCCTTTTTCTGTATCTATTGTTTGTACAGTATTAGGTTGGATCTGAGAGAATTATGAAGTGAATTCTCTCCGGGGAAGTACTGAGGCTACTCTAGTCAAGTGTCTGACTTCCCTGTCCCGTGGTTGAGTCAACTAATTCACCTTGGATTGCTGAGAGCTGGGTCCTCACGGGAGGCAACCCTCTTTGTTTACATTGACCTCACTTAACTCTGAGGAAAATACCAGCTCAAGTAACCTTGGGCACGTGAATATATATACAGTAGGGTGTCCCAGAAGAATGTCCCTGCCTCCCTCCCTCCAACTAACAGTGTCTCAGAGAGTAGGTATGGAGGGAGGGAGGAACATTTTTCTGGGACACCCTATATATGTATTAAACCTGTATATATTTAAGTGTCTGTGGTACACTTTTTATATAATACTAATTATGATGTTACTGGAGTATTTATTGGTACACAGTGAACATGTACCCGAGTTGGATACAACAGAACGACGTGTGGCTTCGTGTCCCTGACCCCAGCCGTGTGTGAACGTTACGACTCCAGCAGAGGTGGACAGATCTTCTTGAAACTTGACAGCTTGTACAATTTTAATAATGAGCACGACCCGATTATACCATCTATGAGTGTGAGGGTATTCGAAAATATATCATGTGTACGACTAAGATAAGGGGCGCGCGCACACACACGCACACATTATTACTACTACTTTGCTGTCACTTGGAATCGAGTATGACGATCATCCAGCTATGATACGAGTTATTAAGGATGTCACCTTCGTTGGTGAGCTGTGAGGTGACTCGAGAGGCCGATACGGGACCGGCAGGGCCGTCCACAGATGTTGCATGTGTGGAGGGCTACATCTAATGCGGGAGAAGCGTCCAGTGGTGCAGGTAGCTGCAACAACTGGGGAGAGGGAGAGTTGCAATGGCCTGCACATAGCCCAATTTACTGGGTTTCGCCTTAGTAACCTGTCCATCTAGCACTGCCCTCATCTGCCGGTGTAATGGTTGGGTTCCCATATTGGTCACCTCTTCCGCCTATACTGGAGCTTTGTAAGCATGTCTGCCTGATGCGGGGCTCCATTGCAAATTTTTCGTTCGGGGTTTACTCCCGTATCCCTATACCTACCTAGGTGCTGGTCTAGCCTGGGCCCACGAGGCACCCAGTTACCGTGTGTTGCCACGAGGAGGCACAGTAGGAGTCTTGATGGTGAAGAGGCTGTGTACTGGCAGGGGAATACTGCTTCCCTGTTCACCACGAGGGCTAAGGGGGGTGGGTTGGAGAAATACGGACAAACCTATGATTTTGAGTCATTGGGGCGTCTGAACACGGCCAACCTGCGGGTGGGGAACGCAGCTGACCACATCCACTCACTTAACATATCAATTACACATGATTAAGGAGAAATCTTAATTAATACAGTACATGATGAAAGGTAACACCCTACGTTATCTTGAGGGATAGGTTAGATCAAGTTTGGTTTGGTTAGGTCAGGTCAGGTTAGCACTAGGAAAATTTGATGCTGAAATAAAGGGCACAACTATCAACTTTGAAAAAAATGGCACAGGTCAAATGTAAGGAGTGCCGGACAAAACCTAGAACATGCCACCCCCCGCCCTTTTTATATTAATACTGAATACACAAGATACAAAATGTTTCTCAAGGTCAGTAGACTCTTAAGACTCTGGTTGTATTATATATACTGTTAATGTTTTGTTTATTATATCTTTATTAATTGGTCACCAAAGTGTTAGCCAGCCTCATGATCCGCGGAGCCTATCTCTGGTGAGTGGACGACTACTGGTGGACCAACGTAACAACTATTCTTGATTTACGACACTGATCCAGACGGTGACAATCGTGTAGTTGTATGCTAGTGAAAAGAATTTACGGTGGACGGAAGTTTTGACACGTCCCCTCCAAAGTTTATACAAATATTTGTGGTTCGTGTTCCACTGGGAGACACAGTATCGCTGATGTATATACATTCCTGCAGCATAAGACTTATTCCTGCAGCACAAGACTCATTCCTGCAGCATAAGACTCGTAACACTTATGAGGAGCTTTTCAAGGCATTTTTTGACAAATGGACTCATTGTCTTTTCTAACCAGACCCGCACCTCTTGTGTTGGGTTTTGAACAAGCAATTCAAAGTGTAAAGTGTAAAGATGCTGATGTGTATCTCTGTTTACCCAGTAAATAGAACCTAAGAAAACTCTACAGGTGTTTGTGATCGCTGCTGTAGATAGAACTTGATACCCAGAACATATACAAGGCGCAGTGTGTTAATTAACTGGATCATTGTACAAGTGAAGTGTAAAGTTTGTGGCAAGCGAGGTGGCGCTCCTTACTCTGTCTGGGGGGTCAACTAGCCTCTCAGGCGACATGTGGCAAGTGATACATTAGCAGCTTCCATATGTCGCCAGGCACATTAATTAAGCGTGTGGGACATGGTAAATACATTACCACACGCTGCTAGCTAGGCTGAATAAATAATGTATATAAATGGAGCACATACATAATATACATACAGCATACATAATATACATACATCACCCAAGAAGCGAGTTTACAAAAACCTAGGTTGACAACCCTCTGGCAGGACCGTGCAGCTGACCACAAGTCAGTCGAAGATTCGTCCAAGATGCAGGCTACAGCATCCGTTGTAAATAGACATTAGTGTTAAAATGAGATTACCAATTTACAGTAAAAATTAAAAGAAGTATTTTGTGTCATTTTTTCCTAATCTGGCGATCGTGTCAAAAGAATGGGAAACTATTACAACAAAATTTGTGCCATTATTTCCCAATTTGAGTTATGCCATCTTTGTCTGTGCCATTTTTTCCATACATTCAGTAACGCCCAATCAGTCTAACTATCCTCTAACTACCGCTCAATCAGTCTAACATCAATAGTAGGTAAATTACTAGAATCAATTATTTCAAACTCTATTCAAAACCACCTGGAGAAGCACAAGTTGATCAATGATTCCCAACATAGCTTCACAAGCGGGCGTTCATGTCTAACTAATCTATCAACATTCTTTTTGTCAGTTTTCGAATCGGTGGACGAGGGGCACAATTATGATGTGGTAGATCTCGACTTTAGCAAAGCCTTCGACAGAGTCCCCCACGAAAAACTAATTAGAAAGGTAGAAGCGCATGGCATCAAAGGTAATATCCTTAAATGGATTAGGGCGTGGTTACGGGACAGGAAACAGCGAGTGAGCATAAACGGCACTAAATCGCATTGGAGCAACGTCACTAGTGGAATTCCCCAAGGCTCAGTACTTGGACCATTATTATTTATTATATACATAAACGACATAGATATCGGCATAGACAGCAACATAAGTAAATTTGCTGATGACATTAAAATAGGACGTGTAATTAAATCTGACGAGGACTCTGCAAAACTACAGGAAGATCTAAACAAATTTTTCGAATGGTCGGAAAAACGGCAGATGAAATTCAATGTGGACAAATGTAAAGTACTCAGTCCAGGAGATGTAAACAGGGAAACCAGTTACCAGATGAACAACGATGCCATTGTGGAATCCGACTGCGAGAGAGATTTAGGAGTAATGATAAGTAGGAATCTTAAGCCAAGTAAACAATGTGTTTTTGCTTGCAACAAGGCTAATAAAGTACTTGGGTTCATACAAAGGCGTGTTAGTTACAAGACTAGCGAGGTCATCTTAAAATTATATCTAGCGCTTGTGAGACCTCACCTGGATTACGCAGTTCAATTCTGGTCACCATATTACAGAATGGATATAGAATCATTGGAAAGAATCCAGAGGAGAATGACAAGACTAATCCTGGGCATTAGGAACCTTGAATACAGAGACAGGTTAAAGCATCTTAATTTGCACTCCCTCAAGAGACGTAGAGTGAGGGGCGACATGATAGAGGTGTATAAATGGAAGTCAAGGTTAAACAAAGGGGACATTACGAAGGTACTCAAACTATCCAACCAGGGGCGAACTCGTAACAATGGTTTTAAATTAGACAAATTTAGATTTCAGCGTGAAATAGGTAACTCGAATACGCTGGATAGCTTCAAACATAGGTTGGATACTTATATGAGCAATAGGTGTTGGGTATAAACGGGACTGCCCAGTATGGGTCAATAGGCTCGCTGCAGTTTCCTCCATTCTTATGTTCTTATGCTCTGTATGATTAGGTTAAATTCTGTTAGGTTGAGATTCAGTTAAGTAAAATTAGGTTATATTTGTTAGATCTATTAGGGAGGTTAATCTTAAGGTCCAAAAAGCTAAGGGTGCTAATCATCACGTCATCCGATAACGATGTTCTAATAACTCACTCACCATAGTCAGGGTTGGGCTGGACAGTGTTTATCCTGATGTAGTTGCGGAAGTTAGTGACCGAAGGATGCTCTTGGCTGGACATTGCAGACAGTAGGGTTATCGACTCCCCCTCCCTCTTTCTCTCTCTCTTGTTCTCACCACTAACGGCTGGGCGGCGCAGGAACTCGGTATGACGTTTCGACGAGTGTGGGAGGTTGCCTCATCACGCTGCCTCTGTCATCCTTTTCTGGCGGTATCTTCGTGAAAATTGTCATTGTTCAGGTTTACAATATATTTTATGAGAAATATATTTAAAAATACAACAGCATAACAAGATTATACTAACATATACCGGAGCATACGAAGGTTTAATTTTATTAAAGTTATTATAAGATGAAGCTGGTCGAGTGTCCGTGATGGCAACAGTAAGGCTGGTGAAATAGTGACACTAGGGATATGTAAAATCCAATTACCGTACCACGACATTCTGCTCTACTGTGGTGTATGTTTTTGTTATATCAGCCCCTCTACTGCTCACCCTTTACGGATTTATCTCTTTTTTTTATATGAGATTAATGGCTTTGTACAAAGCTGTTTTTTACAATTATGTTTGTAAATATCTTGCATCATTTGCACATAGTTAAATATTTAAACACATATTTAGTTATTCAATATTACAAAAAGTTATACATATGTGTCACATTACAGTGTCACTGGGTTATTACGAGGTTAATACTACCGTGGGAGTCATCAACTTCATTAATGCACTGAATCTACCAAACAAAGTCAGATGTTTGACCGTCGCGTCGTCTCGGTAACTCCTACACCTCTTGTGCCTTATTTTCTATTGTTTGGGTATTGACTGCCTCACCACGTCCCACTTGACACATTATAGCCAACAGGTTCTCGGCTGGTTTAATTCACAGCCGTTACTTCATCTTCCTCATTCCTTTATCTAATTCTTTATGTATAATCGTAGCGCCTGGCAACTCTGACAGATGTTGACATTGTTCAAAGTGCATAACTAGATAATTTATTATGTTATGTCTATGTTCATCTGTTTCGTGGACGGGGGTTGACAAAAAGACTATCGGAACACATAACAGCAGTAGGGGGAAAACGGAAAATGGCAACAATCGCCTTACGTGTGATTGAGGGCAACAGTACGACTTGCACAATTAATGGCAACAATCGCAGCAGTACAGTACAACGAAAACGACTAATGGCAACAATCGTCTTATAAATGATTGTATGATTAACGGCAGCAATACGACGCAAACTATTAATTGCAACAATCACCTTATGTATGAAGGCTGGCTCGTATGGCTAGTTGGCCACCGCGTTGGTTAGGGGGGTTGCCATAGTTACGGAATATTACTGCATACAAATTTCCTAACTACCACAGCCCGGGGAGAGAGGGGGGGTGAGGTTCTGAAGAGGTGTGAAGGCTGCTCCCTACTATTACTAACAGGTTTAGCAAGACGCAGAAGTCTTCAAACAGATATTTTTAAAACAAAACTTCATATATGTCTATGTAATGACCTTCGTGGATGTTATTTTGAATAATAATAAATTACATCTGTATGGTGCCTTGTTCAGCCCGCACACAACCATGATAAGAGAGAGACCTGTGCGAGGATACTACTGATCAACCTGTAAATGAGCGCAGCATAAACCACTCAATAAATAGCATGACTGTATTAAAACTATAACACAAACAGGAAATGTTTGCAACAGCTGAAACTGCTGCCGACTGACTTATCATTGTCATTCACACATTAATATTACTTATAATAAACCTAGTTCAACTTCTTCGGTGCGTTTTTATTACAAATTACATTATATTAATAATTTGACACAAACAGAATCAAATACATCCGTTATGTTTTGGATCATGAAAGTCACCTTGTCATAAAAGGACACCATATTGAGACTCCAGTCTATCCTCCTATTACCCCTAGATTACGTGAGAGCTGCATAAAAATAAATAAATAAATAAGTAGGCAGCTACCAAACAGGGAGGTACTACCGCCTGGGGAGATATTGGAAGCATAATGTTTTGTCTAATGGTAGACCCTGCTGCCATATGGCATCACGAAAATTGTGACCTAGTCCCGGGTTGTCGATCTTACTTTCTGCCTCATTTACACACAATTGCAGGGTCTCAATTGTTTCTCTTACCATTGACAACACAACATACATATATTGTTTCTCACTTTTGATCTTCTTTTCATTTTTGTATTTATTATTATTATTATTAAAATTATTATGATTATTACAGTTACTGTATTATTATCATCATTATTTTATTGTTTTATTTTTGTTTGTTTTATCATAAATTTTATTTATTATGAATTATTATGACAATTATTTATCATTATTATTATTATTATTATTATCATTATTATTATTATTATTACATTTTCGCCCCCCAGGCCTCGATGTGGGTCAGTGACCTGTGTCCGGGTGGGCTAATCCCCGTAAAAAAAAAAAACCTGTTCTAAGCATAATTTGTTTTGCCCTACGTATTTATATCCTTGCATATAGCACAAGTAGCTCCTTAAACCTATCCCATCCCTCTAGCCCCGAGCACCCTCCTCAACCCCCGCCTCTCCCCTTCACTTGTGAATGCTTCGGATTCACGAGACGATACTCTCGGGGTTCGCGTCTCATGGACTGACAACGCTGACTGAAAGTAGGAAAAGTCCAACTTTACAGTCACCCAAAAAAGTCCTGTCCCGAACCACGAACCCAGAGATTCAGACTCTTGAATCCGAAGCATTTATGAACAGAATAATGTATCAGTGTCTACTGCTTCGGGTTCACGAGTCTGAATCTCGGGGTTCGTGGTTCGGGACAGGACTTTTTTGGGTGACTGTACCCAAATCCTTACATCGACAACCCAACACCAATCCCTGTCAAACGAACACCCTCACCATAAACTACATCACGACAAAGACAGCGATCGCAAACAAGACAACAAGACTCTCAAACATATACTGTACAGATTTAGAACCGCATCAATAAAAACAAAATCACACTTATACAAACCCCTCATACGCCCACTACTGACATACACACCCAACACACTCCAGTTACCAGCACCATCCAGCACCAAGAAAAACCATATCATATAGAATAAATCACTACAGGACAGCCTTCACCACAAACTAACACCTACATAAACACAGCTCCATTATACCACTCATCATCTACTGGAGACAATTAGGTGACAAATAGAAAACCCCCTAACCCTTAAGATACAGTCGGAGTATTGTACAGGTAACACGTCAGTACAAGGCCCCGGCCGCAAAGACGGTTTAATTAGCGCTTCTAAGTCCTTAGTATAGGGTTCACCTTAGCCGACAATGTTAGGTGGTCACCAGTGGTCCCCTCTCCCAACACAAGAGTAACTCCATGCAGTCCCTTTGAGAACGAGAATTACAGAGTGAACTCACTGATGTAAACAAACATTTCAGCAGGTCGGCTAACAAGCAACAAGCACAACTTCACAAGTATTAAGGCTTATAGCATAACGAGATTAAATCAACAAAATATAACGAGCTAACATGACCTAAGTTTGACGTACCTTTGAGAGCAAGAGTTGGTGTGTACTGACGCTTCAGCTTGCTTCCGTTGATTTACTGGTTGTCTACTGGTGTCACCGACAAACAGCTGCTGCAAAATTCGTGCTGTCATTCATTCCTCAACTCTATGACGTCATTTTCCCTCACGTTTTTGTTGGGTATTAATGGACATTAAAGAGCATGAATTTTAGGTATAACTATTGTAATGTCTTGGCGAAATATAAATATGCACATACAAAAACTCTACAATCATATAATATTATAACATAACATGGGAACATTAAACACTAATTGAAAAAAAAATATCAAACAGAAGTTAGCGTCCTTTGATTTGGTGTAAAATTTATACATCCACCCTGGAATTTCACAGCCTCACAAAAGGCTATTAATGAATTAATAGAGGGAGTTTGCAGAGCGTTTCTGGATTTTGTTTTCATTAAATTCAATTTAGAAAATAGTCTCTCTGCATCTGCATTGGATGTTGGAAGAGACAATACCTGCAAAGTAAATGTACAAAGGTCCTTAAATTGGGAAACACCTACACCGTCCTTAAGTTCCCCTAGTTTTGTATAAACGTCCACTATGTCACTGCTGTCCTTAATCTCGGGTGGTATAGCAATCACATCTAAGTCTCTCCATTGATCATCTAAAACTTGTATACTGCCACTGTATATGCGGGGCACCGCCTTCACAAAGTCGTATATGGATGGCATCTCCTTCCTGGATTTATTATCAAATACCCTATTTGATGACTGAAATGAACACATCCATAAAAACTTACTGCCAAACTCAAATCTTTGACGCAATTGCACACAAAGGTTTATCATGAGGATACAACATCTGAATTGTACATTGTTGCTCCCAATTATATTTGGCCTATTGGGAGGTGATTTTCTTCATTTCTGGGATCAAATGCATCAAAATTACCCGAAGAGGATAAAATAAAATAAATACACTAAAATACAGTAATTGCTACATCCTATATCTTACAAACAAACAAAAAAGTAAAAGTAATGAAGTTCTCCCATCTAAGAGTTCCGTTTTCTTTTATCGCAACAAAGAAAATATACGAAATAATACTATACAATTTCATGAATGAGTTTAAAGGCGGGAATTAAATGACTTTGAATGAGTTTAAAGGTGTTATAGTAATATTAAAGAGACCAATGGAGTTTCTCGTTAATTAAAAGGCTAATAATAACAATGACAATAATAAAATAGGTCATTTGTGAGGGAAACGTAGAGAAAAGTGTTTTAAATTGTTAAAACTGTCTGAACACAACGAGATTCGGTTGGTGGCAATAATAATAATAATAATAATAATAATAATAATAATAATAATAATAATAATAATAATAATAATAATAATAATAATAATAATAATAATAATAATAATAATTTTTTTTTTTTTTTTTTTTTTTTTTTTTTTTTTTTTTTTTTTTTTTTTTTTTAATAATAATAATAATAATAATAATAATAATAATAATAATAATAATAATAATAATAATAATAATAATAATAATAATAATAATAATAATAATAATAATAATAATAATAATAATAATAATAATAATAATAATAATTATGTATAGAATAAAATTATCATGTAGCTAATTCAAAACAGTCTTATATTAAAGAAATTAACCTTAGCTATAAAAAATTTAATAAAAAAGTTCACAGAGGAACTTTAGTCAATTTTTGCTAAATAAATTTTACGGTACAGATAATTAGCACAAAATATTACGAATTAATGGATTTCAGAATTATTAGATTCTCTAGTACAGTATATTGGTTTGGTTTGGTTTGGTTAGATTAGGATATGGTAGGTTAGGTTAGGTTAGGTTAGGTTAGGTACGTAAGGTTAGTACAGGAGGTGACATTTGCTAGGGACACACTGGATAACACCCCTCACATGTGTCTGGGCCAGGGTTCAATCCCTTGTAGTAGTAAACACATAATTTATGTATCAGAATAAAAAAAAAGGAATTTATTATAAAAATATGCTAAAGCAACTTGTTGTTTAAGAAGTAGTACACTTGTAGAACTACATACTGTAAGCAGTACAGTTACTCACTATTTGAGGCTTATGTCACACACACACACGAAGACATTACTGTATGGGTTGAACATGGTAGGTTGATGTGAAGAGAGGGTGGAGTCCATTTGGTCATCATCTAAGGGTGACTGCATCGCATCACATGGAGATGAGGGCTGCTCCACTGGGTTACAAGAGACAATGGTGAGCATCAGTAGGCTATCATGGGTGCTGGCATGGCAAGCAACAGTCAGGGAGTAGACTGGTGAAATTGCAAGTGTTGAGGCCATTTTGATGTTGGTGAGGAAACTTTTAAAAACTGAGTTAAAGTAGACAGCCTTGGATGTTCTGCTACTCTCTGTAGACATCCTCATCATTAAACAAGATACCCCAGTAGATGAAAGCCCACCCGCACTGTAAACTTTACTTTGTAACATCAATTCTTGGGTCAGCTGGTAAGTGAGCAAATATAAACCTCTCACCCCACACTGAGTTATGTTGATACTTACAACATAAACAAACAAACACTCTGCATGGTGTGTATTGTGGAGGACTCCAAAACATGAATTCAGATTCAAGAAGATGGCAGTAAACTTTTTTCCATCTGAGAAACCTCCTGAATATTTCAACACCTCTGGAAAGTTGTGATACCTTGTACTGTATTATCAATTTTGAGGCCTGAATTCTTTTCCAAGACAATGCCAAACTCCAACTTAGTCAACCAATACTCTTGCGACTCTCAATCAGACCTAATCTTCCACCTGATGAGAAATATTAATACAGTATTAGGTCTTGCTGTATATGCCACTCATGAAGGACTATAAGTAATGTGTAGAGAGAAAATGTACAGTGTAGAGGAAAAACTTGAACATATCCAGGGCTGCCAGATATCAATGTAGTACTATATTCATTAGGTCAAAATAAAAAAAATAAATAAAACAACCTTTGTATTTTATGTATGTATTAGACAATAAGCTTGTATGAATACTATACACATTAATTAATATCACAGTTTCCATATAAAATCTCCACCAATTACATTAACAATCCTAACTTAAATGGTAAATATAATATTCAAGTGAACATAACCATACAGAAGATTAAAATGAGATTATAACAAAAAAAAAAATGTCTTAAAAAACCTTAGAGTGTAGGGACCAAAAGCCTGATGGAGTTTTGAGTTTTCTGGACATAACGTATTTCTGTTGAAGTTCCTGAGGTGAATTATGATTAATTGGTAGTCAACAGCTATTATGCAGAAATTTCTTACATAAATCATTCAGAGTACTATATTAGTTACTTACAAACAGCAGGTCACTAGTACACCAGAATGATGAAGACCAAGTAAAACTGAAAATAATATGAAATATGGCACACTAAATGTCAAAAAGTCCTGTAAACAAGGCAAGTGCAAATAATTTATGATGACTAACAAAACAGACCAAACCAAACCTAGCGGTCTTATAATACACAGAATTAAGCTAAGTGGGTTTGACATGCAAGTCTTCACCCAGTATTAACCTAATTCACTAATGGTTATGTTTACAGGCACATGGCAACTAGTATGCTTATTTTTACCTTATTTGTTTGTTTATTTACACAATTATATTTTCTAACAAAGAAATTTGTGGTTTGTAAGTAGTAATAAACAGTTTGAGTTCTTATTGTAAGGAAATACTACTGGCTAAAGCAGCTTCACTGCCTCGGCCAGATGTACAGTCAACAACAGATATGACAGATATGATTAAAGCAGACAGATCTGGGGGGAGGGGGGGACCCTGGGGCTGGATCCACCTTTTCATCAAAAAATTTTGATACTTTTTCTTTAAAGCAGTACATATTGTACTCAGAACTTTTTGTATAGTAAAAAGTAATTACAATTAACCTCAGAATATCTCCTAATATTAAGTGAACATGGTTTCAAAATGGCCTCAAAATGCACATATTATTGTGTGGGCTCACTGTGCTCGCCCCCACCTGCGACTTCTTGAACTCCCATCTTTTAATTTTCTTAGATCCGCCCCTGTAAAGTGGCTATTTATTTAAAATTTATGATCTTGGATTACCTGTATTCTTAGGTAATCTCCAATAATAAAAAATATTAAATACTAGCCACATACTAGCCACTTAAAGCATATCTATCAACTATTCCCCATACAGTATTACCAAATCAACTGTCTCATACCATGCAGGTTAGCTCAAAATGTACTTTTACTGATGACTTTACATAAAGTTACAAGACAGGTCAACTTTTCTATATACCTACTATGCTAATTTTTCTTTGACCGTTAATCTATTTAGTCATTTTATTATTAGGGCAAAAATACAAGCGAATTTCATATTCATACTTCCCTTCCTAATGTGATATTTAGTAGCAACCTACAATACACAAATAAAATGGCTTGACCAAGGAATTAGTAGACATCTCTGTTTTACAACTAAACTGTGAAAATTTGACAAGTCAGTGTTCAGTACCGCTAGGATGACCAAAAACTGTGGATAACTGAACCAAAAACTGTGGATTACTGACATTAAGTGCCATTCACAATGTAAATAATTTAGCCCATACAAATTACATATGATACACAAAAAGTTCTCTGTGGTATCCTTACAATCACTGTGTAAAACCAAATAGTTTTAATAACTTTGCTGGAGTCAAACCTTTTACATAACTTTACAGTAAAGATAATCATTATATATTTGCTTTTAATACAATTGTACGACCTGCTTGAGAATGCTGACATTACCATTAAATTCATAATTACCAGGAACATTACTTTTGAGTAAACATCCCAATTACACTCACTAAAATTTCCTGATGTACAAATGCTGTAAAAAATTTCCCATATAATATAACCACCAATGACCCAAACAACCTACTTCAAGTAACTTTGAGCATTGACAAGGGATCATCTTATTGAAGCAATTAACTTCAAAGTAATAAACTCAACATCTAAGTATACTGTATTACATATCATATTTCAATTCAAATTTCTGGAGCTCTAAACAGTGCAAAGACAATAAACTTATAGTACAGTATATTATTTACACTATTAACACATCACAATCCTTTAAACACATCAGCATCATTGTCTCCCTTACTTATCCATATTGTTCAATTAATAAAAGTTTCAATTAAAACCTCTAAGAAAACTATAACAAAATTAAGCTCCTCAAATCCTATACCAACCAAAACCCAAATGGTCGTCTCCACAAGCCACAGAGAATTTAACTAACGGAGGAAACTTTTACAGTACTGTATGGAGAAAAAGTGAGAGAGAGAAATTAAGTGGATAAGGAAAGTACACAAAACATAATGATCACTCAGGAAGCAAGAGTGAAGAAAGTGACTTTTTTTCTAGAGTTGGAGAATTCCTCTGAGGATAAAAGGCAAATACTAAGACAAGGTAAATAAAGAAAAACCCATATCTGAATCCATAGCAGTACAGGAAGATATAACAAAAGCAAACATAAAAGATGTGGGATATTAATTATACAGTAGACAAGTGATGGTCAACTTCAGAAGCAGAGGTGATCACCCTTAGAGATGAGGCTGGTGGTTATATAGAAGACCAGCAGCAAATGAACGAGGAAACACACCAATAAAAAACCTGAGCAATAATTAATTGGATGATGAATAAGATAAAAGGTAATGAAAATTAAAAAGTTTACTGCATCTAAGAGATCAAGGAAAATATAGTAGAACAACAAAAAATTATGTTGAAGAACAAAATACAACAGAAGAGAAGAAATGACCAAGGAATCAGACAGTGAACAATACAGTAAAAGTTCCTCTGCTTCTATGGACAGTGTGGCAGAAACAACAATAGATGATATTCAAAGCACTCGCCCCGAGAGGCAGCAGAAGAAACAATTCCGATGACAGCACGACCATTCACCTCAGTAGCAGCAGTAACCAAGGTGCACCAAGGAGGAGTAGTGCAGCCACAACCTTTTCTGTAAAGAGGAGAAGAAGAAGTAAAGCATAAAATACTGGTGAATGTAAATATGTACCAGCATCATTTTGGGAACCTGAAAAAAGAGGATGAGAGTAAAGTTTGAGATAGCAAGATGAAAGTTTTAGGCAAACAGCCTGATTCAGCTCAATAGGAAGATAGTACAAACTCAGGTGACAATACAAAATTTGATAGAAAGCAGACATACAGAAACAGCAGGAACCTTGTGCCTCTGATAATAAAAAGTGGTATAAATAAAGCAACAGAAAGATATAGGGTACATATAAATGAGAGGATTAGTAAATTTACAACAGAGAAAGATCAACTGCAGAGCTGAAAGAAAAAGACAGTTTGACCAAAGGACTGGCCAGGACCAATAGAATTCACAACTACAAGAGAATATCTAGGAAAGCTTTTCTTTGTATAGACACAGAGAAGCCATAAGGTAGTGCAGTTGGCAACAAAAAAGTTAAGAGGTCAAAGAGTGTCTTGTTTGAGTGGGTATGAGGACTGAAGAACTCCTGTGAGAGTAAATAACAAGGAAAGTGAGGAATCTTAGGTGAAAGGAAGGGCCCACCAAAAGTTTGTCTCGAGTCTTCTTCTGTTTATCATTGTGTTAGAGATACAACCATGAGAATTTAGGACTGGTCTGGCCTCGGAGTTAAGTTGCTAATAGCAGATGATGTTGGTTGTGGAGAACTTTAAAGAAATGGAATAAAAAGGTATGAGTGAATTTTTTACTATAAGTTAATGAATTCTATTACCCAGGTGACATTGTCAGTGCTGGTGGGGGTACTCAGTTGCAAGTGAGAAGTGGCCAGAGAATGTTTAAGGAGCTATTATATTTATTGATGACAAGAGGACTTTCTCTTTGTGTGAAAGGAAAGATGTCTACAACTAGTGAGAGAAGTATGATATGGCAGTGAAAGAGGGTATGCACTATGCAGGCTTGAACAAACTGAAATGAAAATGATGAGATGGATGTGTAATGACACTGAAAGATAGAAAACTGTTCAGAGCTAAGACAGAGGCTGGGTAGTAAGAGTATTGGCAAAGTTCTGTTTAGAGGTAAGCCGAGATGGTTTAAGTATGTGGAAAGAATGTAGAAAACTAACTGGGTCACAAGATGCACGCGTTTGAGTGTGGAGTGGAGATGACCTAGGGGTAGGCCAAGAATGAAATGGGGAGAGGTTGGTCAGAAATTACCTGAGAGACAAGAACCTGACAAGAGAGGTTACAAGAGACCATGCAACAAGGCGAGCTGCCTTCAGGCAATCACAACTAGCCAACATGAGTATGGATAAAGGCGATAAAATGATGTTGACAATGATGATGGATAAGATTATGAATGTTTCTATAGGCTAAAGAGTTCAAACAGGTTGTACTGTATTGAAAATCTAATGAAATCCATTTTACATACTCAGATCTTTAGCCTCAAGCTGAATATGTTAAGATTGGGCATAATTAAATTTTTTTACTTCATTTGAAACAAATAAATTACAAAGAAATAATGTCAACCACAATACAAAACCCAACTTACAGTATATGTACAAAGCTCAGCATTCCAAATTATATTAACAGGCTGTGTTTTGTTACCAAGGTCATACAGCCTCTTCTAACTCTTCTTCCTCTTCCTCCCCCTCATTATCCCCGCCTCCAATACTGCTGGTCCACCATGACACTAAGCCCAGGCCTTGGTCATTTATTGCACCCTGTTAAATATGAAGATTACAAATAAAATTTATGAGAAAAATTACAGCTGCACAAAACATTATTTACGAGTCAAATATACTATAATATTCTGAACTAAACACACCTTTGTTGCCAGAAATATTTCAATAAGTAATGTATGAAACTTTTTCACTTACATACACAATATAAGGTATTTTGCCCTCTTTTCTGTCTGCCACAACATCTCCCTCTATCAGGTTTGGTCCAGCTGGTGTGGTATCGGTGAACTGCTCCGCAACAACTTTAAATCGGATTGTCTCCCCTGAAATACATTGGTAGACAGATAAGATATTTATTCTGTAAAATCATCACAAAATTATACAATTAGTTTGGCATCTATATAGACAATGCAAGTAGACAGTTCAACCTGCATATAGACAACTGAAGATACAGCATACAATGTACTGTACACAGAGCATGCAGGTATACAATCTCCAATGTGCCTAGACAGTGTGTGAGTAGCTATACAGTAAAAGCAATGGTAAACAGTAAAGCAATTTTTACAAGAACAACTAACAAAGTTGGACTACAGTATTTGAGGTTTAATTATAGTTACAGCAGTTAAGGCCAATGAATGACAGCAGAAGGCATATGACTGAAGATAATTACACTGCATACAGTAAGTCCTCGCTTAACGTCGTGGTTACGTTCCTGAAAAGGCGACATTATACGAAACAACGTTAAGCGAATCAATTTTCCCCATAATAAATAGATAAAATACGGAAGTTACGTTCCTGAGCCTTCCTTTGCCTCATGAAATACATTACATATACAGAAATTCAATGGCATTTTTTATAGAAAATAGTATATAAATAAAACTAAATCATTCTGTATTGGTACTCAATGATGGGCGGAGGTGATGGAGCGAGTGTGTGGTGGGTAGTGGAGCGGAGGAGGCGAATGGAAGGAGGCGGATGGCAGGAGGAGGCGGATGGCAGGAGGAGGTGAATGGAAGGAGGTGGAGAAGGAGGAGGGGGAGGAGGAGGAGGAGGGTGGTGAGTCACTGAGACTCAGCGGCTGCCTCCTCCTCCCGAGAGTGAGTAGCGCGCCAAGACGAGAGAGGGTGATCCGCAGTAAAAAGTAATCCGTGACGACGCAAAAACGACGTTAAATTGAGTCATCGGGACGTTATCCAAATTATTTGTATCTTAGGAGTAACAATGTTGTACCGAAAAAACGTTAATCGGGGACTTATCCATCCACCACTGATCAAAAGGTTGATTTAGGAAAAATATCCTTTGTACAACTGTTGCATTCATTATTTTTCCTGCTTGCATTTGAACAATTATACTGGATTCTGTAAGTCCCCAGGCAGCCTTCCATGAGCATCATGTACTTGTGACAAGACACATACCGTTATTACCCCAAGTGTGATGTGAGCCTCTCTTTAGGCAAGTGCTTCCAAGGTTTCAACACTGAAAAAGTATTGATATGATTGCCCAATACTGTATACACTAGATGTGGCTAGTGGGAGCTTTACCATATTATCTGTAAGACCTTTAAATGTCGTATTTACATTTCGTTTTAATAAATCACCAAAATCCATCATTTGGACGGTCACCCTCAAATTTTCCTGTGATCGTCATGGAAGAGTTATTATAACAAACTTAAAAAAAAATACATACATACATACATAAATACCGGTATATATATATATATATATATATATATATATATATATATATATATATATATATATATATATATATATATATATATATATATATATATATATATATATATATATATATATATATATATATAAATTCAATAAAGATACATACTGTACAGTATTTCAGATACTAATGGCCTTCATACTTTAAAAGTTTCAAGAAATATTCAACATAATTTTGAAAAAATCTTAACTTAGGTACTGTAATTTAATTCCAAATATCCCATTTATAGTCAAGTTGGGACTTATTTGATTACCTTCAACAGTTTGCCAGCTAATACTCACCAATATCCATGAAGAGGTGATGGGTGTCATCATCAGTCTGGTAATCCCATACCCAAGTGCGGTCCGTTTCATCATAGTGGGAGTTAGTCATCATGGAGTCCCGTCGAATGTATACATCATCATAGAAACCAAGACTCACTATAGGGAGGAAAGGAAAATTTATGGTAATCATGATACAGTGAATAACCACCGACTTACATGATGAGTGTGTGTCTATTCAGCATCAGCTACATAGGTATATCATTAAAAGTGTACAGTAATAAGAAATGTTTCTGTGCCCCTTGATCAGTCCCACACACAAATAAAACAACAATAGAGGTATCAGTAAACTATCAACAAAGGTTCCACCTACCTTGCATTCCATCAGCATCTGCTGACTTGATGACTCCTTCCAGAATTTCTTCCATAAAAGGTCTGAACACCACATATCTGAAGGTGGCCCGGGTGTGTGAGGCGCCATCTCCGGGGAATATGTACGAGTCTCCCAAAGACGTCACATCAAACAACGCTATACACAGCCCGACATTAAGCACCACCTGAAAGGGTTAAATCATTTTAGGCATGAATAAATAAAAGTACTATATCATAGGAAGTACAGGTACTAGTACTGTACAACAAACTACTATACAAGACACAAGTCCAGGTAATTAACACCAGAATGAACATTACATCATCATCATCTTTTATGACCATTTTCAACACTTTTGTGAGTTAGCTGTGATTACCTAACAGTGCGATGACCCAGTTGCCATCAGGCTAATGTGAAATAAGTTTAACGGCTTGATGTCCTTCCTATCATCAACCTACTTTTACTGAGTGGGAACTGGGCTGTATGTGTAGGGCTTCCAAGTGCCCATCTTAACTGGAAAGGTCGGGTCACTACTTCCACCTACATTAAGCTCAGTAGTGAGGCTGTTGTCTTGGTGAGGTATGACAAATCACAGTGCAATGGAAGCAATAATTTCAAACTCTATTTTTAATCACCTGGAGAAGCACAAGTTGATCAATGATTCCCAACATGGCTTCACAAACGGGCATTCATGTATAACTAATCTATTACATTCTTTTAAGCTGTTTTCAAATCAGTGGACGAGGGGCACGACTATGATGTGGTACATCTTGTCTTTAGCAAAGCCTTTGACAGAGTCCCCCACGAAAGACTAAAAAGAAAAGTGGAGACTCATGGCATTGGAAGATATTCTAAAATGGATTAGTGTGTGGTTACAGGACAGGAAACAGCGAGTGAGCATTAACGGCACTAAATCCGATTGGAGTAATGTCACTAGTGGAGTACCCCAAGGCTCAGTACAGGTTGACAACCCTTTAACCGAAATTCCGAAAACCGAAAAGCTCTGAAAACCAAAAGTTTTTTTTGTGGAGCATTTTTTTTTCTTTTCTTTTTCAGGTATTAGCCCACCCGGGCACAGGTCACTGACCCACATCGGGGCCTAGGGGGCAAAAATGTAATAATAATAATAATAATAATAATAATAATAATAATAATAATAATAATAATAATAATAACAATAATAATAATAACAATAATAATAATAATGATAATGATAATAATAATTATTCATAGTAAATACATTTTTAATATAAAATACACAAAAATAAAATAAGAATGACAACAACATTAATAATAATAATAATAATAATAATAATAATAATAATAATAATAAAGAAATACAAGAATGAAAAAAAAGATCAAAAGTGAGAAACACGACCTAGACCTATGAATTATTATTATTATTATGTGTGTGTGTGTGTTATTGTGTGTGTGTGTGTATGTATTATTTTTTAGGCTAATGTGGATCAGTGACCTGTGCCCGGTGGTCTGATTCCTGTGTGTATAAAAAAAAAAAAAAAAAAATGAAATCCGAAAAATTCCGAAAACCGAAATGTATCTGGTCCCAAGGATTTCGGATAAGGGATTGTCAACCTGTACTTGGACCATTATTATTTATTATATACATAAACGACGTAGATATCGGCGTAGACAGCATCATAAGTAAATTTGCTGATGACACTGAAATAGGTCGTGTAATTAAATCTGACGAGGAATCCGCAAAACTACAGGAAGATCTAAACAATTTTTTGAATGGTCTGAAAAATGGCAGATGAAATTCAATGTGGACAAATGTAGAGTACTTAGTCCAGGAGATGTAAACAGAGAAACCAGATATCAGATGACAACAATGTTATTGAGAAATCCAAATGTGAGAATGATTTAGGAGTAATGATAAGTAGGAATCTTAAGCCAAGTAAACAATGTGTATTTGCTCGAAACATGTCTAATAAAGTACTTGGATTCATACAAAGGAGTGTTAGTTACAAGACTAGAGAGGTCATTCTAAAACTATATCTTGCGCTTGTGAGACCTCACTTGGATTACGCAGTTCAATTCTGGTCACTGTATTACAGAATGTACATAGAAACCCTAGAAAGAATTCAAAGGAGAATGACAAGACTAATCCCAGGCATTAGGAACCTTGAGTATAGAGACAGGTTAAAGCATCTTAATTTGCACTCCCTCGAGACGTAGAGTGAGGGGCGACATGATAGAGGTGTATAAATCGAAGTCAGGGCTAAACAAAGGGAACATTACAAAGGTACTCAAACTATCCAACCAGGAGCGAACTCGTAACAATGGTTTTAAATTAGACAAATTTAGATTTAGGCGCAAAATAGGTAAACACTGGTTTGGAAATAGAATAGTGGATGAGTGGAACAAGTTACCAAACATCATTAACTCGAACACGCTGGATAGCTTCAAACAAAGTTTGGATGGATATATGAGCAATAGGGGTTGGGTGTAAATAGGACTGCCTAGTATGGGCCAACAGGCCCGCTGCAGTTTCCTCCATTCTTCTGTTCTTATGTTTCAGGATTTGCACATATCCATAAAAACAAATTTGAATTATGTAGAAAGTGTAATTGAATACAAATTAAAATAAAAATAGATAATCAAATTTCACCTGACAGCCATAAATCATTAACTAACCATCAATACATCTCTCAGTACAACTCACTGGTCAGTACAGTACCGTAACATCTGAATGTATGCCTGGTAATGGAGGCAGACTCAGTCACATGAGCTGCCGGTTTGGTAAAAAAATTGGTCGACCTCCCAGTGTACATAAACTGTTAGTCTTGTTAAAATCCCCACAACTTGGATGGGGGAAATCACGTCCCCCAGCCCTCAGTGCCGTCACAATGTGCACAATATAAGATTCGAAGCCTTAGCCTCCCTACTTTCATGAAGTGATTTGAAAAAGATTATTAAAAGGCATTGGTAGCTTACTTTGTTTGCAAGTTTCCGATTCAGTTCTTCTACCACAGCATCATTCAGTGTCTGGCCAAACAACCATGGTGGGATGCGTACCATGTGACGGATCTCAGCCAACTGAAACATTATCCTGTATGTCTGAAAGTGAAGCAAAATCAATTTATCAATAACCAAATATAAGAAGGGAAAAATCACTCAAAATCAACAATACTGTATACAGAACAATTTTTTAGGTTTCTTGGAGATGCAGGCTTTGATTGCAGGCTAAAAGCACATGTTGAGTAAGATTTAGGTACTTTGAACAATAGGCTACCTTTTCTATGTCCAGAAAAAATCTGCAAACAACATACTTTTCTTGTGGAGAAAGGATTTAAAGGTGTCCAAAGTCACCCAGAGATTGGGGTGACTTTGGACAGCCCCTACTACAAGTGTTAATCCAATGGCTGTGGTGGTTAGAGCCTCCCTGGGCATTCTGGGGTGACTTTGGACATCAATGTACTTGGAAAAAAAATTGGCAAGAACTGCACCAATATCTCTACCCAGGCAATAAGGAGGAAGAGCAAATACTTTTAGAAATGGTTGTATTTCATAAAATTAACAAGCAATCTGGTTGTATTAGGGGTTCATATACAGGTATAAAGATTATGCATTAGTATAAGCAGCACAGCAAAAGTAATCATAACAGACCACAAAGAAAAAATGTGGCAAGGCTGTAAATAAGTACTGTACTATTTTTAAGGTATTTTTGGGTAGAAAATATATGTTTACCTGCATTATACTCCTTGATGACTCTATATGTACAGCTCTACTTTGAGCATGACTGCATAAAAATATAAAAGAAAATGGAATTATCTCAATGCATTAACCTAACCTAACCCAAGTCAACCCGGTATGTCCAAAGTCACCCCACTTTGATAATGATTTTTACATTTCTACATTCAAGTGACATTTTCAGGTATTTAAAATTCATCAAGAGCCACTCATTGTTTCTAAACTTTGTAGATACAGATTTTCCTAATATTTTTCACTAATTATGTTCCTCTATTTATTTTGACATGTTTGCAGCAGAGAAAGTTTGTCAATATGTTTTTTTATTAATTGCCTTTGAATATTGACTTCCATTTATTGCATAAACATTTTCTAGTAGCTTAAGAAACAACATATAAAAATACATAGTTTTAGCAACATTTTGGTACCAAACATGCTCTGCTTGGTGTACCGTAACTGTTTATGAGCTGTCACCTCTGCAACTTTTTTTCATACTTTTGTACAAACTCACCCCATGTCCCTGATAAACACTAAAGTTATAATTCAGTCACTAGCCTCAGTAAGGACCAAAACTTTTCTCAATCTTCCCACTGGTCACACAAGGACACAACTCAACAAGAAAGGACTGGAATGGTCAAGAGAATCATGTCATAGCAAAAAGAGTGAACTGCAACTGACTTTCCTTTCCAGAAAAACCTACCTAATCAAACACAATGAAACCTACCCTAAAATAATAATAATATAGAGTACTTCTATCATAGGGTAAGAAGGTTTTAATGGTTCATCTTATCTATGATAAATCACATGAATGTATAAATTACCAATAATAACAACACTTGGTCAAAATGTTACTGTGTACGGGAAGGATGATGGTACCAAACTAATAACTATACGGTATTAGGAAAATTGCAAAATCCCATTATTATTTGTCATTTGGGAAGATACTGTATTAATATTATATAAATGATGTCAATAATTTTTTTCTTACATTAATTGAGAAAAAATACTTTATCATCATTTATGCAAAAATTTCTTAAGCCAATACAGTTGTTTCTTAGTGAATATAAACATAATTTTTTTATAAATGTCGATGAAACGTTTGGAATTCTCTGGCTCATGTGAACCAGCAGACTGAAGCACAGCAACCAAGATGGTGTTCTCCTCGGGCAGGCAGCATGGAGCATCTATCTAGGAAAAAAACTACGGAAAACCATGATATGAATAGTGCAATTCTTCACCCGGTTTCCATTATTCTTGAAGTAAGAAATAAGTTAACTCTTGTAGATATTTTCCATGAGGTGGCTGGTTAACCTGGAACCTTGTCTCTAACTATGAAGCAAAGGTGAACACCATCAGCCCATAGGTAAACTAACAAACAGCGAAGATAATAGTATAAAACTTATTATGTATCAAGTTAGGGCAAACATTTTTTTTGGAATGAGTTTTGAATTCATGCCAACAATGCATAACAGATATGCGACCAATTGCCCAAGCAGTGGTTTCGACCAACCACAGCTTTCAAGGTGAGCAATGTGTTTTTTCAATGGCATAGACAGGTTTAAGATATTTTTCTTCTATGAAATTTCCCTCGCAAATTACCTAACCTAACCTCCTAACCGAGGGCTTTGCCCTCCCCCCAATTCCCCGAGTATATTTAAGTAATTTATGAAGAAAACACCATAGAAGAAAAGTGTCTTAAAATTGCCTAAAACATCGGAAAAACACACTGCTCAACTTGAGAGCTGTGGTTGGTCAAAACTACAAATTAACCCTTTATCTTCTATGGACAAATTTTGTCAGATTGCTGCTACAGCTGGACCACTATTGCTGTTTTTCACTTAACAACTTGTGTATGGGTCCCCTCCAAGCTGAAAAAAATCGTTTGGTGTTAGCCAAATAAAATATCAAAAGAGGCATGAACGTAATCAAGGGGTTGACATTAATGTAGTGGATATTTTTCCGTGACCAACTAAGTTCTTACTAACGCTATTTTACCATAAGTGCGCTCTGATTGGCTAAGTACTTTCTGTTTAATATGACGGGGAGTCCGCCCCCCAGCTAGGAAGTTAGGTAAGGTTAGGTAGGTTTCTTTGGCTGGTTAGGTCAGGTCAGGTTCTATTAGGTTCTAGTAAATGTCACCTCTTTTATAATAATAAGAACACGTGGCAAAAATTAACAAAACCGAACAACTCCTGAGTCACGGTCACATATCGTTCCCACGTTGGTCGGTGGTAATGGACGATGGTAATTATTCATGACTAACCCGCGGCTGAAACTGATAGAAAACGATTTTAAAAACTCCAGATTTTCACTATTTTTTTATAGTGGACACTGTTGCAGTTTGTGCAAATGTGTTAAAAAATGGTTATTTCTAAAATAACCGTAACTTAACCTTTGTGGGTATGAAAAACAGACCTAACCTACCTCGCCAAACAAACCAACCTAACCTTACCTAACTTCCTTAAAGGACCCCCCCCCCGGTATATTTAACAGAAAGAACTTACTATAATATGGTGTAATTTGATGCTTTTTCTGGACATGAGATCAGGCGCTTATGCAGCCCAGGCAGTGTAGTGATTTATTGTGATGGCGGGAAATGTCAAGCCACAGCGTTGAGGAAGTGATGAACAAATTTCTTTCCGGTCTGAAAGTAGAGGGATTTCCGCAGTGTGGCCAGTCTCTATTTAAAGGAACAATGCCGTGGTCTTTGAGCAATTGAAGGGTCTCGTTGTTTGTCCCTAAATTCGCATATTAAGTCCATATAAGACCGGCGACAACCTCCACGCTGAAAATGAAACTGCAGCGAGCCAGGGGAAAAGCGCCGCAACATAGCAAGGCCTCATTACTGCTGGGAAGACAAATTAGTGCAAGCCTAGGCGCCTAATTATCTACAAAATAAAAAATTTGCACAAGAAATGATTACGGTATCAGAACTCACTGATGAAAATAAAGTAAGAAAATAAACAGTAATACAAATAACTCGTCCACGGGTTAGTCCTATATATTAACCTGGACGATTAACCAATTAGAGTGCACTCATGGTAAAATAGTGGGTATTTTTTTTACTTTACGACATAGCGCGCCCAAAAGTTATAAACTTCTGAAACATTTACAATTCCCTATTCTGAGCATTTTGAACGCACTTTATACCATTCGAAAATAGAAAATAGCGACATAATTGAATGTAATTGATTTTACGTACTGTTCAGTCCTTTTTTTTTAGCATATTCGCCACTTATCAGCTTACTAGCCGTTCGGGCGGTTTATACAGTGTTAGTACAGGAGGAAACTGGGGACTGGGAAACCTGTGGTGTTTGGTAGTGAGGGTCACACTGGATAACAGCCTTTTCACGTGTGTCCGGGCCGAGGATCTGTGAGGAGATGTTATCAACGTGAAACTGAATTAATTATGCATCACTCATGCGCAATATTGACTGACGTCGTCCAGTCGTGACCAATGATGTATCGATATCATCTCGTGATATTTTTCTTTTTTTACCAATCACATATGAATTTTTTAAAGGAAGCAGCCTGGGTACGGGTTTGAAATTCAATGGCCAGTCTGACAATGGCTGTGGTCGAGGTTGGTTGTCAATCATGCTCCTACAATTATTTTAAATTTATTACTGAGTTTTACGAGAAAGACGATCATTCTATCCAATTCTCACATATTCCTGGTTCTTCCACTTCTAACTAAGGTATTGTAGTTTCGGACATGGCAAGCCCCAAAGTTTTAAACTACTGAAACATTTAGGTTAGGTTAGGTTTTGTTAGGTTAGATGACTCGTTTTCTCCCCCACCCCAAAACCCAGATTTCCCAGGCTCTCCCCCATTATTGTTGGGGAGGGGGGGGGGAGGGGGCAAAAACGAGCAATTTCCGCCAAAAATGAAGGTCAGATTCGCTTAAAACACACCAAAATACACTGAAATAACATATTGGTCAACCTGTAGGGACTCATGTTCTAAAGTAAAAACTTACCAAATAATGTTAGTAGTAACTTAAGTCGGTACATCAAACTACTGACTTCACTACTTTACAACACTGACTCGTAAGAAATAGCAACTATAGAAACATTTTCTATAGAAGAAAACTTATTTCTTACCTCTTGAATGTAAATAAAACAGTGGAGGAATTGCAGCTTTCTAATTTTGTTTTTTCTACCAATAAAGTTTTCGTCCAGATGTTTACAGACGTGGACAAACTACCTAAGATAATTTGTTAACTAAGTAGCTAAGATTTACAGCATTATAATCCAATCACATTATATAGGCTGAAATATCAGTATCAGCCACATAAAGCACTGGAATAACAAAACACATGGTGTCCACATATGTATATACTGTAACCCAAACTAATGACCACACACAGGTTATACTCACTATCTATCAACAGGTTAATTGATAAGGTGTGACAGTGATGACAGTTCACACTTTGGTAATGGCTCCCAGCTGAGTAATCTGTGTAGCAACTTGCATCACATCCCTGTAGCTGCTGCCATGTGGTGCAAGTGATTGTTTACACACACACACACACACACTCACTCACACGCACACGCACACACACACACACGCCACCTGCCCACTGTGCTCTCAACTACATCATCCCTCCTGTTGGTTCCACAGTCACATGAGTTTATCTCTTATAATTAAAGCAAAAAAAATCCTACGCTTCCATATTGTAATAAAAGAAAGGCCTTCATTTAAACTTTCTTTATAAAATACCTATGAATATTAATTCTGTTTGTTTATCTAAAAACTGATATTTAATAAGGTGGCTCCTGAGAAAAGAGCTTTATCCTCATATTTTTAATGGTGTTGGAATAGCGTAGTTATTAAGCTATTTACACACTTAAAGACCTTAGTTGTTGAAGCTCAGTGAGGAATGAAGTGACTCGTGAACTTCTTCGGCTTGTATGATAAGATATTAAGATTCACCCAGCTCTATGGCACACACCTACTATCAACTTGCTTTTATTTTGAGCTATTAAATTATAAATCATACCATATAGACTCGTATTGTCTCATTTCATGTACCTTGTCATTACTAGTTACTTTCAGGTATTCCTTGACATGCAGTAGTATACCACCAGGGCTTTTACCTTTTCAGCATAGTAAAGTGACACCTTGTTAAATAAAATTCCCTCTGTGACACATCTTCTCGACCCCAGGAGTCAGGATTCGCTAATTCCGGTGATATCTGGTGGTTCTATGCTTGTTTGCATAATTATGAGCTGTATGTCATGTTCCTTAGCTCTTTGCCGGTTTTGTTGGTGAATTCTCATATCAGAGGTTATGTAGTCATTGTTCTGCTCTGTTACTCACTTGAGGTTCTGTCTTCAAGATATCCCACCTATGCTCTTGTTTAGGGATGGTGGTCCTCACTAGTTGTTTTCCACTATTTTAAATGTACAGAAAAAGAAAAATAAGATACTTTGGTCATATAATTAGGGACGAGGGATTTAATAACAAATATTAACAGGCAAAGTTGAGGGTAGGAGGGCCAAGGGAAGGCAGAGATGGGGATAGAAAAAATAAATTAAAAACTGGGTTGGTTAAAGTGTTTAATGATCAGGTAAAATAAGCAGGGGCTAATCTTCAGGTTAACTGTAAGTTAATATTAGGAAAAATTTCATATATATATTTAGTGTTGGCAGGTGAACATGTCTGGCAATGGTTGTCTTGTTGGCTTGGCTGCTCAAGATCTCTATAAGGTAATTCACTCTACAGTAGTGCAGTACTGTACAGGGCAAAGGCAAAAAGTAAAGTATAGGTAATTTGAGAAGATGGAAATAATTTTGAAAGATGGATTGCAGTATGAGTTTTTTCTCTTCCTCCTTCCCTTCATTCTCAGGTCCAGAATGGAGCGATTTTCCCAGAATTTTTCGGAAGGTTAAAAAAACTAATTCCAGCTATTGGGTTGTTCTGGGGATCAAAGTTTCTGGCCAACAGGGAGATACTACTCTTGAACAAAAACTAGATTGTGATAAAGTGGTATAAACGATCACTTCTGTCATCCAATTGACTCCTTCTCCTCCACTCGTTTCAAACAACCATCTTCTCTTCTTGTGTTAAAACAGATTCAGGAGTCTATTTACATTTTCTATGGTCAAAATTTTATTTATTTCAAAAAGTTTCATGATTAAAAGCATTTAAGAGAGTCATTCTCCACTAGATATTTCATCATTATTATTCTGCACCCTTCCTTCTCTGCTCCATTTACTATTATCACTTAGCAACATAAAATAACACGCTGTAACAAGCATTTCCCCCCTTTTCATTATTTTATTCTGTTAATGAATGATATTATCAAACTAAAACACATTTGTTAAAAAAGAACAAAAAAATTAACAATACAGTATAATAAATCGTAAAGAAAATATGTCAATCATGTTGGTGTTCTTGGATTTACTACCTCTTAATTCCTATTGATTCAATGGTTATGTGATATTTCTATAATGTGATTGTTTTTCAGGAATGCAACTACAGTACTGTACCATGTTATACGAGAACTGACTGAACACTCTCCAGAGAACTCAATTATGTACAGTCAGCCAAAGATGCACCGACCCCACCCTGGGTCTTGAGCTCGCAATTTTACCTGGCAATACTTGAAGGAAAGAAGGCTGTGTGTAAAGGTGATTGTGATTGGTGGATTTATTTTTGGCTGTATCACTGTCAGGATAAATATTAAGCAATCCAAAAGTAGAATTTTTACAATAATAAGCTATTCATCGTTGTTTAAGATCATGACAAATTTCCAAATATTCGTACATTTGCTTAAATAATAAAGAAATTGCATCGATGAATTGGCAACGCAACTACAACCAGGGCTGCCACGAGATCATCACATCAAATTTGAAGAATATACAGTATGTTCCACATTTGATCTTGAGTGTTTCATGAAGGAATTAATTGTCTTTACAATGTGAGCATTACCGGTACATAATATATTTTGACGAAAGTTAGAGAGCAGACACTGTAATACTGTACACTCATTTGTCAGTCACGACATTGTATCTTCATATATTTATCCCGACAGCGATACAGCCAAAAATAAATCCACCAATCACAATCCCCATTACACACAGCCTTCCTTCCTTCAAGTATTGCCAGGTAAAATTGCGAGCACAAGACCCAGGGTGGGGTCGGTGCATCTTTGGCTGACTGTACCATCACTGTGTCAAACTGTCTTTCCTCAAGCACAGGTAGGTTGTTCACACCCTTTCTTGTGGTTTGTCTATCATGTAAGTGCAGCAGCTGCTAATTGCTTTACTAAAAAAAATACAAGAATGTGCTTAAAAATACATGTTATATTAAGTTTTGAAATAAGATTATAGTGGTGGAAAATAAGGAAATGGAAGAAATGGTGTCATCCTGTGCCAACACAGTAGGTTAATAATGTGTGACAAACAAACAGTATTGTACATATAATGAAGTTGGTCGGGTTTCCATGAATGACTAGTTTTGAAATCGGCTATTTAAAGAAATTTTCTTTCTCAATACAGGTATATATTTCTAAAGAAATATTACTTTTGTAAGTCAAAGATTTATACAGCTGTATTTCATATGGAATTAAGGATTTGTAAAGACTTCATACATACAGTTATTTTTATTAACCTGGTTATGTTGTTGGCCTGTTAAAGTACATTACATATTATCAAATATAGGTACAAAAACACAAGATGTAATCACATTACCACACAATATGCACAAGGACACAATGGACAGGTTCAGGTTTCAAGGTTACAATTCTTAATGTACAACTTAAATTTCAGCAGTCACAGACAAACGCAAAAAGTTTCAAAGTTATTCAAGAAGGCTTTTAATAATTATATCAAAATCACATGATAAACCTTATTGTAATTCCTTGAAACAATCTATTATCTAAATGTCAGTGTACTTTGTTACATTAACTAATTTTAAATTCTTTTTTCTTACAAGGGATACAAGATTCACAAAGCCTACAGCTTTTGCATAATGTAAGTAAATATGGTCATATGTGTATTTATATATACCGTACCTACTCATATTTTCAGTTAAGATATGTCCATGTGTGTCTGCAAAGAGTAGGTTACACTGTTGATATCCAATAATGCTGTGTTGTGTGTACAGTAGTTTATGAAGTTAAGTGTTATTCATTCAATCATTGTGAATTGCAGGTACATGTATATGGTTTTCCTATTCTGCTTTGAAAACATAAACACACGTCATTGCTACACCATTTTGTTCACTAGAGACAACTTCATTATGACTGATGGCAGTTAGAAGCGGCAGTGGAATGATGACAGTAATCAATATTTGGGTGTAATATGGACACAGTTAGATCCTGTTAAATATTAGGTATCATTAAACCCATTTCTTAATACATTATATAAACTACATATAATAGCTGGATTTTGTTAACATTAACTTTGTTAACAAAGGCATGAATATGCCAAGGGAACATTCATGCTGTGGGTGGACAGTGGCTAAGCTCAGGCTAAGAAGCAATAGGACCACTTCAAGCGTAGCACTTCTCTTACAGCACTTCTTTTTGATTTCAGTGGGAATACATGGCTAGAACTAGCCTGGGCACCTAAGAGGGCAGATTGCCTTGGGGGATATGTGAGGTTCTTATTGCAGCACCTACCTACACTCTGCTGGCATACTGTGTAGCATGCAGAACATATTTCAATAATTGCTAACATGCTTTGTGTTTTCTTAACATGTTTATCGTTGTACAATATATACAATGGCATAATGTATTTACAATGAATCTAATTAAAATTATCTTTACTTAAACACTAAAATCACAGCCTGGGAATTTAGAATTCCACCATCTTGACTGCAACCAGTGGAAGTCATTACCTGCATTATTTAAGAAAATGGAAGAGTACTATATAGTTTACTGGCAAGTCCTGGTTTTTTTTCTTTCAATATATTGGTTTATTATACAGTACATCAAGTTCATAATGGGCACAGGAAATTCTACAATGTGAGACTGACAACTACAGTAGTCAATCAAGAACATGAAACAAAAGCTCTCAATACTGTATTAGTTAACCATGGCATAAATTCAATGGCTAAAAATCATCACATATATTGGCCTCTAATTTGGGACCAGTCAATCTACTGCTGCTGTTAATTACACATGCAATACAATATTGACAAAAAACTCAATCAAAGAACGATAAAATTTCATATATATTTTTATTTTATTTGCTGATGTCTACCCTTTTGTAAGGTTTATAATCTTGAAAATTATATAAACCAAAACCTAAGATATATCCTTAAGCCAACCTTGTCTTGTCACTAAGGGCAGATCATGACACTAGAAGGTCAAGGTAACAGACTGATAACATACAACTTACACTTTTCAAAGGATAATTCAGTAAAACTTGAACAGAATAATTTGGAGTAACTTAAAATAGGATTATTGTTAATGTTAAACTTTAGAAATTTGCAAATGTTTGTGTAAATGACAGTTAAAGCGTCAGCATGATAATGTACAATATTAACAAGGAATCCACAAACTGGACATGAGCCGTGTTGGTGCCGGGCACAAGCCAGGGTGCAGTGAGGAGCCCAAGGCATGAGTGGGCCAGGGCCATGGGAGAAAAAATCTGCCAGTCAGTTAGTTAAGAAAGGCATTTGCAGAGCTGACCAATGCAGGTAAAAAATGTCAGGATGACTTCCAATTGCAGTCATATCAACCAATCGCACCAACCCAATCATTTTGTATATCATCAACTCAGCAGGTGGTTAACTATCCACAAGTGATTCAGATAAAATAAATACAGTACAGTACCTAATTGTGAGACAATATATACATATATGATGTGTGCATAAGGGAATGATTGCTGCTTAATTAAAATAAATTTTGGTTAATTTTTTAATGTAGGTAAATTATGATAAAAAAGAGTACAGTAAATTATATATACAATATTTTCAAAATTTACACTACTCCCAAATCCTATTAATTCTGATGTTCCATGATTTTTTTAATTCATTACTACAAAATATTGGACATAATCAAATTTAATATTTACTTCCTGAAAAAAATTACAGGTGGTTTTGATATTTAACACATAATTGGCTAATCATTAGTTGGCCCACCTCTCCTGCAATCCTGTACATAGCACCAGGGAGAGGATTGGGATATCTCAGTCGCTTGCTATGGTTAATGAAATAACTTTGTGAAGATCATAAGAATGACAATACATTTTGTATGTCAAACTCTTGAGCTAGTCAAAGAGGTATATGGCATTAACATCACAGAGGAGCAGCTGAGACAGCTTGTTTCAGATTGTTAGCTAAGTGAGAAACAGCAACAAATGCATCTACCATTGCTTGAACTGCCACCACTGATGGAAATTGTAGTGCTGCTGTCTTAGCTGCAGATACAGTGTTCTTCATAGCATCACATAATGCATTGGAACAGTTTAACACACGGGTTCTTACTTCAGCATTTACTACATTACGATGGACAGTGTCACCAATGTAGACTAATTTGTGTGCATTCAGGATAACAAACTTGGAATGAGCAATGAAAACCTTGGGTGGCTGATTGTTCTCTATTGTGAGGAGGAAGGCATCAATAGCAGTGTTCAGATGCTGAAGGTGTACCTCTGCTTGAGTTCCATAGAAAGTTACCACTTGCCGGTCATTTGGGTCTAAAATATTACTGCCCTTTTTGTCAGTGATGGTACATGTTGAGTCACCTTTGCGCAGAGCCTTTTCATGATCGCTGTCTACGATCAACTGTGATTGTTTCACCAAATTGTCAAATGACTTTCGTAGTTGAGCCGGTAACTCCTTCTTTATATCTTCATGCTCACGTTCCATACTCTCACGGGTCTCCAAGTTTACATAATCATAATCCTCAAGCCAAGTTCTTGCATCATTTTCATACATATTCTCGAGCTGCCTCTTCTCTGGAAGATCGGGTAGAGGACGCTCCTGAACTGGAGTTTTTTCGTCATCTTCAATTCCTTGCTGACGTGAAAATCCTGTTAGATCAAAACTGGGTGATTTTTTGAATATAAAAGCAATCTTTGACTGGATGTTGGAAGACAAGAGACGTACATCATCCACCAAAGTATGAGCAATGACTGCCAATTGGTTAAGGCTCTCTGGATTAGCACCACATGCCAATGCCTGTGTCCATCCACCTTCTTGCAACCTGGACCAAACTTCATCCACAATTGTTGCTGACTTTGTCACTGGTTCCATAAGATGTTGCAGCCGTCGAGCTACACCTCGTTCCCCATTTCGGGCGGCATTAACAGCTGACCCTTGACCAAACTCAAGAATATCATGGACTGATTGACATAATCGGAAGACAATCATCTTCATTTCGTCTTCACGCTCCTCTACTGTCTCTCGTGTTCGCCATGTTCCACTCTGGTGTACTGTTGACAATTTCTCTATGGCTCCATAAACTTCCTGCTGTAATTTTGCCAAGGTATCCAAAGCAGAGTCATGTTCCAAAGGAAGCTCTTTCCCAAGACTTAAGTCCACTTCACCACCAGATGAGTCAGAACCAGAGGATAAACGGTTTGTGGTGCCATCCACAGAATCTGGCTGACGAACATCTCTACTAACCTGTGGTGGAACATCATACACGCCTTCACCACCTCGTATTATAAGTGCACGTGGCACTCTAGAGGGAGGTGTGTCGTAAGTGTCAATTCCTACTGTTAAAACAGATCGAGGAACATCATAGGCATCCCTTGTATCCCTTGATTCTCGGGGAGGAAGCTTAGGACGCTGAGATCCTATAACTTTTCGTGGTTCTGGTGGGATGTCATACACATCGTGGGACTCTAAGCTGGAGCGGTTAGAAGAGCCACCAAGTGAGGATAAGGAGAGTGACTCAGATGCAGCTAAAGATGAAGCAGAGGAAGAAGTTGACAGCTGTGAGGACTCGCATGACATGACAGAAACTCCACTAGAGCGGTCACTTGGCGGCATATCAAAGTGAGCATCCTGGTTGGCATTTGTGGGTCTTGGCACATCATACTCTTGATGGTTGTCACTTCCTGCTAGAACAGTTGGTGGAGCACCTCCACGAATCCCTTTAATTAGGCTACGTGGTGCGCCCCCTATGCGTTGAGTGTCAGGGTGTGTCCTAGGTGAATCATAGTGCTGTTGAGACCTTGGCGAGTCATAAAGTGGTCGTACCTTAGGAGAGTCATACTGGGAACGAGGTATGTCATACTGGTCCAGTGGTGAACGTATGTGAGGTCGAGGGGCATCATATCGGAGACTGCTGCTGCGTGACAGACGAGCCCCTCCTGTAAAGAAATATGTAAACTTAAATATGAAATGCTGATTGTGCTTATTCAAATTTCTTATGTAATTAACGTGCAATCCACAGTGATATCCCCGTTAGCCGGAACAACCGGTGCAGAGCACTTCCGGGAATGAGAGATTTCTGGGTAAGGAGACAACTCTCTCATAGCCGGAAAAAATCCCTCATCCCCGAAATTTTCCGGGTAACAGAAAATTTTTCTCGGAATTTCCAGAAAATGAGCTTGATTTTCATCTTTCAAACCCGAAATTTTCCGGAAAATGTGCCTCTCAGAAAATTGTTCCCAAAGCCGTAATTTTCCGGAAAATTCTTACTTTGGGAACGATTTTCCGGGAAAATTTCAATTCCGGATATCAGAAAGTTCCGGGTTTGAGGAATTCCAGCTAACGGAGATATTACTGTATTCGGTAATCTGAAAATATATTTGGTGAACCCCATAGCAAAAATGGGTCTGAATACAGTACAGTACTGTGCAGACATACCTCAACTTACATAAAGGTTAGATTCCTGAAAAGTTGTCCATAAGTTTCATAACTCAAAATTCTACAACTTAAAATCTAGTTTCCCATTGATTTCCATTATATAATTGGAGATGCCTTCTTAAAGAAAAAAACTTTCCCCCTTGAATTAAAATAAAATAATACCGAGGACTTTTTGAGCATACAAATGAGAAATTTTATTCAAAAATTTTATGCACTATTTGCTACAAATAACCTTTTCTTATAACTGTATACCACAAAAGCACTTAAAAAATTTATCTGGTTTTGATATACCACAGGTTTAGTGTGTACTGGCAGGAGGTGGCACTTATGTTTAGTAAACAAACATTTGGGTGTCATTATATTTAAGCTCCATCTACAATACTACTACAGTACCAAACATTAGAGTAGTATAACTTTATGAGTGTCTACAGTATAAATATTTCACTTCTCAAGCATTATTTATACACAGTACAGTAGAGTACAGTGATCCCTCAGTTAACGAACGCCTCGGTTAGCGAAATTTCGGTTAACGAATTACCTTCCATAAGAATATTCAATTCGGTTAACGAATTCCTTACGAAATTCAGTCAACATATTTTCGCCTACTCACCAGCTGTAGTATTAGTCCGCCAATACAGTAATCGGTTTTAGGGCTTAAATTCATTACCATTTGAGTAAATATCAAGAAGGTTGTACTATTCAATAATTTTCCAAGTCTTATATTAAAATTTTTAGTCATTTTAACAATTATTTAACGTAATTGAAGTACAGGGAACTAGTTTTTAGCGCACCGAACAGCCACTTGACTCACCCAGAATGGCGTCAGTTTGTGTCTCTGCTCAGCGGAGGAAGCATCTTGCTTGAGACTTTCTTGAACATAAACTATTTTTACGTTTTTACAGTACCTTGTACAATTATTGGTCATTCTGAAATTTATTTTACATATTGACAATATATAGTGCAGTGTTGACTTAAAGAAAATAATCTTGAATTACACCAAGTGAACTTAAAATTTTATGGGTGAAATGGCAGCATGAAGCATAGGGTGATTGCTCTTCCACCCCACTGCCTTCTCTTCTCCCTTCTCCTCCACCCCCACTTCTAATTCCCATCATCATCATCATCAACAGGAGCCTTCTACATGCACACCTCAAAGTAAGTGTACTTTACTGCATTTATTTTTAGTTTGTATGTAATTTTCGGTGAGCTGGAACCAATTACCCAAAATCCCATTGAAACAATGGTTTCAGTTAACGAACGACCTTCTGGAACGAATTGTGTTTGTTAACCGAGGGACCACTGTATAGCTATTAAACTTAGCTCTTACCAGTGTCATGTGGAGAGTGTTTTGTGGGTGGGATGTCATAGTCCAACTGAGAAGCTTGTTGGTTGTGAGTCAGCGGACGAGGCGTATCATATGTGTACACATCTCCAATTCGACGTGGTGTTACAACCTGAAGAGAAGTACAAAATGATTAACATTCAGCAGCTCAAACTTATAACAAGATACTAATTATTACTACATATTAATTTCTACCAGGTGTGCATGAAGCAACTTGGGTAAGCCAGATGGTCATATTGTGGAAGGAGAATGCCAAAGCAAAGCACATCTGACAAGGCAGCGGGCAAACACAAGACAGCGAATAAGGCAGAATCTGTGTTACCCTACATCATCATACTGAATAAACCTCATCAAAGAATAAAAAAAAACTACATGAAAAGGATGATAGGCCTATATGATAAATAATACATTTACTGTACACAGTACTGTAATGAAAGGATTGCATGAAGATTAATACTCCTAGTTTATTCCACTCAATGAGTATAAACAACCTAATCCTACCTGGGGAAGTTAGGTTTGGTTAGTTTAGGTTACATAAGGTTAGGTCATGTTAGGTCAAGTTAGGTTAGGTTGGTGTTGGTTATCTAGTAATAAAGTGAAATAAGCTAGGGATGTTCATCTTCATATGATCCTAGTAAACTACCTTCTATTAAATTCAAGTCACCTGTTCCAGCTCACAAAACAATACCACTTATAAATACTTGTACCGGTACTTAGTTCAATCTTTCATCTAACAACCATCTCCACATTTTAAAGTGATATGCTGTAGCTGTAATTCTTATACAACACTGTACTATACTGTACTCAATATAATGTATCTCAAAATTCTTCATAGTGATTCAGCAAAGAAATACTGTAAATGAAGCAGTTAACATAATCTCTCATTAAGAAAAATGTGTAAAATGAATACTGTACTTGTTGACTGAGGTACTGCTTATGATGGGTAGGAGAGCAGGTAGCAGAAAAAAGGAAGGTAAAAACTGGTTGAGTTAAATAAGAACAAGAATAATAAATGATAACTTTTAAAGTATGCAGTCAGAACATGTACAGTACTATACAGCACACCACCAAGAAGAGTTTAATACAGTACTGTACTGATGATACTTAACAAATTATTGTGGACTTAAGTACAGTACCTTCAAAGGCAACACAGGTCAGCCAGTCTTAAAATTATTGTAAAGTGTACTGCACAAATACTGTACTGTACTGTACTGTATTTAATTTCCATTGTTGTTTCTGTACAAAAGGATTATTTTGGGAGACATGGTTGTGAGAATAACAAGAAATTGTTTGAGGTCAAATGCACTGACAAAATATTTCAAATTTAGTCCAGAATATTGTACAGTACTGTATCAAATTAGACATAAACATAAAATTTTTAAAGGTTCAGCATACAGTACTTAACTACAGGTACATGTACTGTAATTCCATAACTGATAATACTTTCAACAAAGTAACCAGTCAGTAAAAAAAAATATTTTCAACAAGTACAAAACAAAGAAATCACCCACACAATTACTGTACAGGAATTAAATATAAAAATATATTCGATGTAAACAAAAACTAAAGAAAAATATAAAATAAGCCCTGCAAGAGGATGAAAAAGCTTCAACTGTTTAAGGCCAATTTAAATGCAAAAACCTAACAAGATGAACAACCAGGACATTGACTTCCAGTTGATGACAAGAGCTTTTCATTTTATTTTAAAAAAGGAACAAAAAGAAAAAATGGGATCACTTGAAGATTATCCTCCAGCTTATTTCACCTGATGAATAAACTACCTGGGGGTTAGGGTAGGTTAGGCTAGGGAGGATTAAGTTAGGTTTCTGTTAAGTTTTTGTAAATTAGATTAGGTTAGTATTAGGGTGGTTTATCTTAAGGTGAATTAAGCTTAGGGCTAATCTTCAGGTGATCCAATACCTGTTTTACCATACAGTAAACCTTTTCTACACAACCTATTGACCTACCAACACAAATTTCCTTCTTATCTAAGAATTTGAAAACAATTTATTTCTATACTACTGTACTGTACATGCTGATGACCCAGCAGTGGTGTTTAAACATATGAAGCACTAAGAGTGTTTCAATATACAGTATGAAAAACAGCCAAACATATATGTTTTACTATGACATCAGTAAAGCTTGGTTGCTTCTTAAGAAAGTAGCAAAAGGGCTAACCATATATAACTGCCCAGGCCCATTACACACACATTCCCACAGGAAGGCAGAGGTTAGGTTATCCAGTGTGACCCTCAATACCAAACACCACCGGTTTCCTGGTCCCCAGTTTCCTCCTGTACTAATACTGGATAAATTGCCCAAACGGCTAGTAAGCTGAAAAGTGGCGAATATGATAAAAAAAAAAAAAATTCCTGTCAAACACAATTGCTCCACAACTAGTCAAGCCTTTTCCATATCTTTACAGCAACGCCTTTGTGAGAAGATACTAACACACTAAATTTTGAGAGAATCTGAGGGACATTGTACAGTATGGTATCAAATGAAAACCCAACAACGTTAGTGACAGACAAATCATCTCATTATGGATTTAACTGGGACCATACACATTATATTTCACAAAATTTCAGAAAAACATGACCACTTCGGACCTTGTTAGAGAGTGGTCGCTGTGTCCTGGGGGCTGGGCTGGTGGCACCAAGGCGTCCCGCTGGGATGGTGGTGGTGGCAGAGCTGTGTGCTGATGTGAGGGATGCCAGTGATGTCACACCAGCACCTGTGTCATACATCCCTGGCATGATCCTCAGGCGGTTACCAGGACAGATACCCTGTAAGACAACATAAACTGTGAGGGACATATAAACAATATGAACAATGTCAAACATGCAGTACAGTTCAGTGTTGCCACTCGGCAAAATAATAAAACCACAGATGGCCACCTAAGAAAAGCAAAAAACAGATACAGTAATATATGCCCAAAAACTCCCACTCAAAACATTGCAATAAATAGCAACTTATCTTAATTATAAGCCTTGGATATCAATTAACTAATTAATAGTTATCTCATTTCTGAAACAATTTATATCATTGAAGAAAGACTGGTACAGTAGTGGCTCATCGCTGTCAGTACATCAAATTTTGAATGATTATTGCCAAACAGTTCATATCAGAATGAAGTTGTTTTCAGGCTCAAGTGTTGAGTAAGGTTTGTGACTGATCTTGCAAATTATCAACATCTTCCTCGTTTCGCACAGGGAAGTGAATGACGAATTTTGCAACTGAAGCAAAAATCTTTGAGGAGACAGTACTGTACTACTTTTCAATCCAAAACCCGCAGGAAAGCCCACACAGAACACCATTTTCTTCAAGTGAAAATCTTTTTCTTATCTGTGCACACAATTCCACCAAAAACTTACCAATAATATAGACAGAACCTTTTACTGTATCTTTCTCTTCTCTTGGAAATGGCTCTTTCAGCAACAATCCCAACATCATCCACCAAGATTAAGAAAGCCAGACTTCTGTATGTACAGTACAGTAGTTGTACCTTGAGGATCTACAGCATATGGGCTAGTTTTATGAAGATAAAATTTCATCCGAAACAAACATGCCCAAAATGCTTTGGTACTCATCAGCAGTTATAGAATAGAGGGTGAAAAGTGAAAGTTAGTCCCATATGCATGACTGCCCTTTAGGTACAGTGTGGATACAGCAATGGAAATTAATGTAATGTATACAGTATACTAAGCCTTCGGTACACAAGGAGGAAGTATGTCTGGTACTACTCTCGACCACATTCACTTCCCCCAAGTGAACTGGGAGCACCTGGGAATTGAACCATCCCTGGAACAGGAGGTGAGCGCTGTATCCGCTGGACCGCTGCGCTCCAAGTCTAAAATACCCAGACTGGAACTCAAGTTTCATCTTGTCAACTTTGTCGAGGATGTAGTTCAGGAACAGAAACATGTGTATAGTTCCACAGTTTGTCATAACTTTAAAAAATTTCAGTTGCTCTTACAAAATCCACCTATTCCATTTTTATTTCCTCATAAAAAACAAATGTAAAGCTGCTTCATGATGTGTGTCGTATTGGTTTATTTATCGATAGATCGATAGATTGTATGATGAGCATATGTACTGATATGAATGATCAAGAGAGCCCAGATCCATGGACTTTCAGTAAAAAATCTGCGATTCTGGGGTTGGAGCAAAATCTCCCAATCTGTTGAAAAAACCCCAAGAGTGGCAACACTGCAGGTGTGCAGTATCTGTATACCAGTAGACTATGTTCAGTAGTGTGCACTATACCTGCATTGTCTATGAAGATTGCATACAGCACTTGCAATGTCAAGTTATTTACTGTATCTACACTGTCTGCATTGTCTATATACAGTACTGTATATGCTGAATCAATATTAACTTGTATGAAGATTTTACTGAACTAACAAAAACAATAGCAACACTAAAATCACAGTAAAGTACCACACGGACACGTAAACAACCTCATACAGCCAGTATCAATATTCTGGTATTTCAGAAATGTGGTGAAAATTTAACTCAGGAAAACAATAAATGATATTTCATAAGCTGGAATCCATTCAGATAGTGACAAAGTCCGCAATGGTGGATTTATAGAGAGGGGCGGGGTACACCCCCTCCCCTAAATTATCTTCCTGTAGGTAGTGAACATAAATATTGTAATAATAGTTCATTCTATACCATAGTGCTTCTTTACATCATATAAATATTAAGAACCTTAGTGACCCACGAGTCATCCCGTCTCAGCCAACAGTCGGGTGTTCAGCTCTCAGCTCTGCAAGTAGTACCTCCTTACCAGAGACAGCAATTTCCTCACGAGTCATGTGACAGAAGGGACTCCATTCCAAGAACTATTTTTTGCTGACACACACACACACACACACACACAGCTACTACTACTACTACTACTACTATGCTGTCACTCAGAATCGAGTATGACGATCATCCAGCTATGGTACAATGATATGAGTTATTAAGGATGTCACCTGGGTTGGCGAGTTTTGAGATGACTAAAGAGGCCGATAGGGGACCCGCACGGTCGTCCACATTCGTTGCACATGTGGAGGGCTGCATCTAGTTGGGAGGGGCGGTGGCAGCGTCTTTCCGGCATTGACGCTTGTCTGCCTTGGTTTGCAGTCGGGCTAACTCGAAAGTTTTGACACCTTCTCGTGTGGTGCTCCTCCAAGCATTACGATGTGGAGTAATCGACTCCCAGGTGAGGGGGTTGATTTGGCACTTTTTCAGGTTTGTCTTAAGACTATCCTTATACCTTTTCAAATGCCCGCCAGCGTTACGTTTACTATTCTTTAGGTGACTGTAAAGTAGCTGCTTTGGCTGTCTACTGTCGTCCATGCGGGTAACGTGGCCAGTCCAGCGTAGCTATTCATGAATAATGGTAGCCTCGATGCTCCTACAGTTGGTGTCAGCAAGAATACTGGCATTTCTTCTCTTGTCTTCCCAGCAAACTCGGAGGATGGAATGTAGACTACGTTGGTGAAAGTTTTCAAGTACCTCGAGGTGCCTCCTGTATGTGACCCAGGTCTCACTGCCTTATAGCAGGGTGGGGAGGACCACTGCTCGATATACATGCAGCTTTGCATATAATTTCAGCTCCCTACAGCTGAAGACACGGTTTCGAAGACTGCCAAAGGCTTGAGATACACATCTGATCCGGTGCTGAATCTCTTCATCTATGTCTGAGGTGGTGGACAGGTGGGAGTCGAGATACCGAAAGTGGGTAACATTAGAGAGGGTAGTACCGTTAAGCTGGATGGATGGTGGAGGTGTGTCTGAACCAGGGGCAGGTTGAAAGAGAATCTGAACACACACACAGAAGTGAAGGTTGATCACAAAATTAGAAGCATTGAGACAAATTTTGGAGTCACTTCTGTTTTCATTAATATTTGGCACAAACAAAAATAAACTTTACTACAAGTGGCATCAATATTAAATTAACATTTTATCAAAGAGTTTTTCGGCTAAAAAACGAAATTTGGAATCACAAGATTAATGTTATACAAGAGAGTTTTAGTATCAAGAGATTCAAGAGGTGTGAGTGTTGCAAGTGGTTAGTTTCCTGTAGTGGCACATTGCCTGCTGGGGTGGTGTGGGCGTTGAAAGTCGTGCTCACTAGCAGTTATCCTCCCACACTCCTAGGTCGTTCACTACTAACATCATCTCGCCAAGTTTCACTACAAATATGGTATGACCTGTTCTATCAGGACTTCATCTTAAGAGTTAGGCTGACAGGGGCAACTGACAAGTTCCTGTTTCTATGGAAGACACAGTTTCTTCCCCGAGTGGAATTGTGTGAGTAATACAGTGTGTGCACCATACTGCGTCACGATCCAGGCCACTCACTGGGCTGGCCAGTTGCTAGGGCTGCAAGTATCACCACACAAAACACTGCATTGTTTCTTGTTCTGCTGCAAAATTATGACTTCAAACACATCGTCGAGTTGAACTTACTAACTATTTTATAAGATTCCTGTCATTTAATTTTTCGCTTAAACTGCATTATCGGCACACAATTCCGATAATGTTCGTTGTTTTTTACACGTGTCAGTATTGTTGCTAAGGGTCGATATATTCAATAAACAAAACAGTCCGCATTGCATTAACTCAGATAATAACTGTTGTGACTGTGTGCTGCAAAATTAGACAGTTACTAAGACAAGTGTTGCATGCTAGGGCTCGAGTGCATGAACATGATCCTCTGTGGTCGACGAGAACCTCTCTTTCAACTCTTGTGTTTATTTTACACACTCGCCCTGCTGCTAAGGTCCTCCAGCACAGTGAACAAAACAAACAGAGAGATTTGGCTCTTATAATTTCATAAACGTTGTTGGAATGGCGTAGTTACTAACCTTGTTATGCGCGTAAAGACCTTCGAGGTTGAAGCGCAGTAATAACATTATAACAACAATTCACCACACAATCTTACACACTGACAACCTGAATATTTTCACTCAACTTGGCACTGACCCCAAAAGTCCTACGGTATAACAGTTAAAAGAAGAGGATAACTCGTTTCTCTTCACCAGCTGAATCTATTTAAAAACGTTTATTAGCTATCGTAACCAAAGATAACGTTGGTTACGATAGGCGACCTCGTTGAACCCAATTTTGACAGGTAAAGTATGAGTAGAGCCGTGAATGATAAGAGATGGAGGGGTGAGATGAGATTAAGAGATTAAACTGGAGAGTGAAGAGTGATTAGCTTAATCCGTCTAATGTTATGCCAAAGAGGAAATGTCATCAGGAAAAAAAATAGATAAACAGTGACAGACGCAATGCAACAGAAACAGTGAGAGTAAGAGGGGCAGTGACAGAAAGTGAAACAGTGACTAAGGCAATGAAACGAAGCGAGGCAGTGATAGAGAGTATAACATGATATAGAGAGAAAGTGTAGCGCGAGATATACAGTGTAGCGTCAGACAGTGTAGTGTAAGATAGTTTACCTGCCGTCCTCGCAGGGAACACAGCCACCACCCCTCCAGGCCGGCTGTGTTCTGCTCCAACACAGTCAGCATATCGTTGCGTCTGAAGGCCAGCTCGTCAGGGGACTCGGCCACGTTGTCGTACAGTGCCCTCGCGATGCAGTTCTGCGACCATACAAAAGATAAATAAATTAATTTACAAAGAAGTACATAAATTAAACTGTAAATAAATGTGTAAATAAATAACTAAATATGTAACGGAAACTAATGATGCTCTCCCTTTCCTACCCTCCTCTTTTTCCGCCTTACCCTTTCTTCCCTCCACTATTCCTCCTCCTTACCCTCTCTTCACCCCCTATTCCTCTTTTTTGTCCTCTCCCCCCCCTCTCTCTCTCTCCGCGCCACTCTCCTCCCTACCCCCACTCTTCCTCCTCCTTACCATCTCTTCCTTCCTCTCCCCCCAACCTTCATCCCCCCTTTTCTCCCTACTCTCCTCTCTCCCATCTCCCATCCCTTTCCTCCTCCCCATTCTCCCCCTTCATCCCCCCTCTCCCCAAAAGGAAAAAGCAAAAAGTGAGATGAAAATCCTATGTCGTTTTAATGTGCTTTCCGAAAAAATAAAACTACGCTTGGTTTTCTCACTTATCACACCTATATTACCTACTGAGCAGTGCCTCTTCACACCATGATCATCACCCAAATATTAAAACTACAGGTGGTATAGAACGAAACCCTGAGATTCGTCACAGGTGAAAGATACCCCTTTACCTGAACCACAGCCGAGATACATAGAGACCTGAGAATAAAACCCATCAACCAGCAGCTGCACACTGGCCAGCAGAGTGTAGCAAAAAAATTAACAATCAGAGCAAAAACACCTACAAATACTCCCACTAGACATCAACAACAACCATACATGGTTCCCCAAAAGTTACCACACCTCAAAAAGTCCATTACCACCCCCGATCTTTACGGCCAGGCAATAGACAACCTCCCTAGACCAGCATCCACCAGTAGAATCGGCGGAATATGAAATATAACCCTCAAAAACCCATATATGGGATAGGGAAGGCTGTCTAGTGCCTGTACAGCCAAAAGCGGACAGCGAGCCAGTAAATCAGCTCCAAGAAAATAACCCACAGTAACTAGTCCAGGACACAACTTTAACACACTATTAGCTTAGGTAACCAGTAGCAAGGTGGTCAGCCAGCCTCCTTCTACCCCCTTAAGTTTCATTAGTTTCTGAACTATTAACCCCCTTCCTTCCTCCTCTAATCTTCTTTCTCTAAAAAAAAAAAAAAATCCTTCAGCGAACCGGGCTAACACAGGGAGGTTGTCAGGTCTACACATGGTTTGTCATGATACAACTAACCAAACCAAATCTACCATAGCATTACGATGTTTAATCTGAAGGTAAAATAAACTGGGGTGTCGAATATTCAGGTGACTTGTTTTCTATGTACAGGCATAACTGGAACTAAATTATTAGATGTATCAATGAGAAGCACATACAGACATACACCTGTATACACAACACACATATACGGACGCACATATGCATATAAACACACATATGCAAATATACACACAGGCAAACATATACAGTATACACAAATATAAACACACACACACACACACACACACACACACACACACACAGAACAATCGTGTTTTAGACAACTCAGGTAGCATTAACCCCGCATAGAGGCTAGGAGTCAGGCGTCTGGGACAAAGCACACTGTCTGTATTGTGTGAGTTTACGCAAGTTTCTTAAAAGACCTTACGTAGTTTAAGTATATAGTCATTCTCTTAATCATCATCATTATTATTATTATTATTATTATTATTATTATTATTATTATTATTATTATTATTACTATTACTATTACTATTATTACGCTACTATCATTATTACTTAATTATCATCATCATCATCATCATCATTATAACAACAATAATTCTACATCACATAATGACAGCCTACACTAACCCACAGGGGTGACGTAGATGTGACTGATGAACTTACTACATTATACCACTGTTAGCTGAGCTCTATATGTCACTATCAGACTTAACTTTCCAGGGGTATTGAGCTGTGTGTATAAGTACAGTTTTAATTGAATTTCTCATCAATCATTAGTGTGTTAGGGAATGTGTATACTTGTATTGTTTATGTATATTTTCGGTATACTTAGGTTGTTTTAATATACTGTTTGTTTATTGTTTGTATACCTATGTATATTGTATATTTGTAATAAGGACAATACTTATCTATCTGGTCCTTCAAGTGCTATTTAACCTCTTTAATTTAACAAGTGTGCTAATTACTCCACTTTAAGTTAATATAAATATCATCATAATTAATCTGTTGTCTGACTTAATTATGCATCTGTGTCAAGTTTTACATAGGATTAATTAACTGTTTATTTGGTAATGCTCTATGGGTCTATTGTTAATTCTATTTAATCTTAAACTAGTATGTATAGTGTATAGTAATTTAAATACAGAGGCATAATGTACTCAGTTATACACAGACATACACACACACACGGTCATTATACTGAGTAAATATGACGTGTGTGTGTGTGTGTGTGTGTGTGTGTGTGTGTGTGAGGGGGATGTGTGTCAGATGGTATCGTTTAGGTCATTTTAATACACTGATACCACAAACAAAACATTATTCCATCAGTTTATCAGTTGAGGAGCACAGTCGGATAGGGCAGGGCATAGTAAGGCATCCTAACCTATTTCACCTGGCGATTAAAAACCTTAACGCCAACTGGTTAAATTAGGTTAGGTTAGGTTAGGTTAGGTTAGGTTAGGTTAAGTTAGGTTAGGTTAAGTTAGGTTAGGTTAGGTTAAGTTAGGTTAGGTTAGGTTAGGTTAAGTTAGGTTAGGTTAGGTTAGGTTAGGTTAGGTTAGAGGTATTAGTGGTCTCCTGGTCCAGCACAATGATCTCCGCTATAACATGAATACGGGAGGCAGAGGAGAGGGGAGGAGATGACTGGGGTTGCCGGTGATGACAGAGACGGAGTAGCTGGCACACTGGCTGGCATAATTGGTGTGTGTGGAGACGCCGCGCCAGGCTACCTTGGTGAGCTGACGGCCCTCCCCTTCCCTCAACCCACCCGCCTGACGCCACAACCCTCCCGCCACCAGACGCCATTACCCTCCTCCTCCACCACCACTACCACCCCTCTCTCCTTGCCAGGCGCCTTAAGTGTGCGTTTTCGTCGTCTCACCACAAGTGCCTTTGTCCGCTTCTTACTCGACACAACTGACCCGCGACCACAAAACTGACCAACACATCACACGAGAACACAAAGAAGGCCATTTATATCTGACACGTTGAGATAGAGGAATGTACACACACACACAGACGGAGGAGCGGGCACGAGAGAGAGAGAGAGGCAGGATCGGTGCCGCAATTCTAATACCACAAAGAGTAAACACTTCACACCCTCCCCCTACGCATGACCCCTGCTGACAGTGCCTCGACTTCTCTCTGTCTGTCAGTGAGTGAGTCATTCAGTAAGTCATTCAGCGCCCAAGTTATCATAGATCTTGAACTTAATTTCTATCCCGAACAGACCTCCATAAAATAGTGAAGGTGTGGAACGAGCCCCACCCATCCGAGCTAAGACTACGCTTCCTTCCTTTAAATCATCTCTTAAAATATATCTATTGTCTAAGTATTAATATTTTTTGTAATACTTACTGTATATACCTGCTTTTACTGTACCACCAAAACCGTTTTATCAGAAATTATCATGTAGATATATAGAAATTACCAATGCAATAAATATATTTGCAAACTTGACATAATACTGACAGCTCTGTCCTCAAGTCCCACCTTAATACAATCCGTGTTGTACTACTTCTCTCCCTTATCATATTTATGTATATCAACTCCACTGTGGAGTATGTATATACCTGTACTTATATGTAAACAAAAAATACATATCGCAGTGATAACTATGGTAACATTCTGATATGTTGTTATTACCACCAAGCTATGTGTACTATTCCAGATGATGCTACATGTTAGTTAATACGTCCTGAGATAAAAGTACAGTATATATCAGGTGCCTACAAGAGGGCTCAGGCTCTCAACTGGCTCAGCCATGTTAATATTATGATTTTGATCGACTCTGTTTCTATGTTCTTTTGGCTAAATAAAGTGTTTCAGTGTCAATAATATCATCTGTCCAGCCCTCTTAAGCCGTAAGTTGGCGACAAATTGGTACAGAAACTGCATTGACACACTACCCTAACTACAGTATGTCTCATTATCACCCGGCCAAACAAACTCTCTCTCTCTCTCTCTCTCTCTCTCTCACACAATACGTTTTCTGTCAAGGACGATTCCCACATTGACGATTATAGCTAAACTCGTCCATACATCACAAGTTCTAATAGATTCGTCTTTTGGGTGAGGGAAGAGGTGGAGGAGAGGGATGTGAGAGGTGAGGGAAGAGGAGGAGGAGAGGGATGTAAGAGGTGAGGGAAGAGGAGGAGGAGAGGGATGTGAGAGGTGAGGGAAGAGGAGGAGAGGGATGTGAGAGGTGAGGGAAGAGGAGGAGAGAATGTGAGAGGTGAGGGAAGAGGAGGAGGAGAGGGATGTGAGAGGTGAGGGAAGAGGAGGAGAGAATGTGAGAGGTGAGGGAAGAGGAGGAGGAGGAGAGGTATGTGAGAGTTGAGAGAGGGGAGTGAGAGGGCAGACAGACAGACAGTGGGGAGAGTGGCGCCTGGCGGGGTGTGTCTGGTGGTGGCGAGGTTCTGTATGCTCCCCACTGTTCTCCCTGTCTCCCTCCCTCACTACTCTCCCTGTTTCCCTCCCTCCACTACTCTCCATACCTCCCTCCCTCCATTACTCTCCCTGTCTCCCTCCCTCACTACTCTCCCTGTCTCCCTCCCTTCACTACTCTCCCTAACCTCACATAAATATTGAGGACCCATTAACTTTGGTCACCTTTACAATGGGGCCGTTTGGACACCTTATCACACACAGTGGTCGGTCAATGTAGAAAAGATGAAGAAACACCAACGAAAAGAAGAACAAGTAATGGAAAAACATAAAAAAAATATAAACAGTAGAAACGAGACGATAAAATTAGACGGAATAACAAAATAAAAACGAAAAGAGACTTGAAGTATTATGATGAAGAAGGAAACAGGAAAATAGAAGGATAATTTGGTGAACCTTTTTGTAACCATCCTAATTACCTTGTTAGATCACCCTCATAAAGTTGTTAAACCTTTCGTGTTAAACCATCATAATTACGCTTTAAAAACATCATCACTATATCATAATAACGATTGCAGTGTCTGATGGTGACACATAGTAACAGTTTAACCTTGTATAGTGACACATAGTAACAGTTTAACCTTGTATAGTGACACATAGTAACAGTTTAACCTTGTATAGTGACACATAGTAACAGTTTAACCTTGTATAGTGACACATAGTAACAGTTTAACCTTGTATAGTGACACATAGTAACAGTTTAACCTTGTATAGTGACACATAGTAACAGTTTAACCTTGTATAGTGACATATAGTAACAGTTTAACCTTGTATAGCGACACATAGTAACAGTTTAACCTTGTATAGTGACACATAGTAACAGTTTAACCTTGTATAGTGACACATAGTAACAGTTTAACCTTGTATAGTGACACATAGTAACAGTTTAACCTTGTATAGTGACACATAATAACAGTTTAACCTTGTATAGTGACACATAGTAACAGTTTAACCTTGTATAGTGACACATAGTAACAGTTTAACCTTGTATAGTGACACATAGTAACAGTTTAACCTTGTATAGTGACACATAGTAACAGTTTAACCTTGTATAGTGACACATAGTAACAGTTTAACCTTGTATAGTGACATACAGTAACAGTTTAACCTGTATAGTGAATATGCAACAGTTTAAATCTTTTGTATAGTGACACATAGTAACAGTTTAACCTTGTATAGTGACACATAGTAACAGTTTAACCTTGTATAGTGACACATAGTAACAGTTTAACCTTGTATAGCGACACATAGTAACAGTTTAACCTTGTATAGTGACACATAGTAACAGTTTAACCTTAGCCTCATGCACTGTCGATATATGCTTATTAGTCATGCAGTGTTAGGCATGTGGGCGGTGCGGTGTGGGCGTTAGTCATGCATAGTAAGACATGTGGGCGTATAGACATCACGCAGGAACAAACCGTATGGGCGTAAAAATCATACAAGGAACAAACAAACGGGCGTAAAAACATACAAGGAACAAACATGCGTGCGTAAAATTATACAAGGAAAGACACGTGAGAGATACAAGTCATATAGGATGAGACATGTAGGTGTAGGAGACGGTAAGGAAATACCAGGGTAGGAGAGGGTCAGACACAACCATATTGGGTATAAGTACTGGTCCGGGCAGCAGGAACTGACGTGCCCCTCCCCCCCCCTACCACTACCAGCCCTACCACTACCAGCCCTACCACGACCATCCCTACCACTACCATCCCTACCACTACCAACCCTACTACTACCAGCCCTACCACTACCAGCCCTACCACTACCAACCCTACCACTACCAGCCCTACCACTACCAGCCCTACCACTACCAGCCCTACCACTACCAGCCCTACCACCACCAGCCCTACCACACTGAGCCAACCCTACCACTACCAGCCCTACCACTGGCTTCAGCCCTACCACTCACTGAACCCCACCACTGTTTCAGCCCTACCACCACTAATCCCTACCACCACCAGCCCTACCACCACCAGCCCTACCACTACTCAACCCTACCACTACCAGCCCTACCACTACCAGCCCTACCACTACCATCCCTACCACTACCAGCCCTACCACTACCAGCCCTACCACTACCAGCCCTACCACTACCAACCCTACCACTACCAGCCCTACCACTACCAGCTCCTACCACTACCAGCCCTACCACTACCAGCCCTACCACTACCAGCCCTACCACTACCAGCCCTACCACTACCAGCCCAACCACTACCAGCCCCAACACTACCAACCCTACCACTCACTAACCCTACCACTCACCAGCCCTACCACTACCAGCCTCCAACCACTACCAGCCCACCACTACTAACCTCAACATCAATAGCCCTACCATGCCAGCCCTACCACTGGTTCAGTCTCTACCACTGTCAGCGCCTCACCTCCACACTACTCATTACCTGATTACCCTCAGCCACCTACCACCATCACCTTGCCAAGCCACCACAAAATGTTCATATCTGATTCTCTGACACGCACACTTACCAAGCATTTTTACCTGTCTGTGTAACTACCTGTGTTATTAATGTCGTTACTTATTTTCCTTATGTTACCACATGCTACTTGTTTTCATGTTATTCAGGCATGTGGTGTAAGTAAACTTAGTTTACGTTACTCTATACTATGAGTAGTAGTAGTAGTAGTAGTAGTAGTAGTAGTAGTAGTAATAGTGGTGGTGGTGGGTGGAGATAGTAGTAGTAGTGGTGGTGGTGGTAGTGGTGGTGGTGGTGGTGGTGGTTGGTGGTGGTGGTGGTGGTGGTGGTGGTGATAGTAGTAGTAGTGGTGGTGGTGGTGGTAGTGGTGGTGGTGGTGGTGGTGTAGTAGTAGTGTTGGTTACCGAGTTGACATAAGCTGCTTGTAACAGTGAAGTAAAACAACAAGCTTACACAACACAAGCCCGTAATACCTGTTGTGTGTGTGTGTGGGAGGAGGGGGCGTTACCAGGTGTGAAGAAGAAGAAGTAGTAGTTTATATCTCTTTTACTTATACATATTAGGGTCTTATTTACATGGCCCAGAGAGAGAGAGAGAGAGAGAGAGAGAGAGAGAGAGAGAGTTTATCTGGACAGTTTCTATTTAATAATACTCTAAATCCACTCTTCCTCCCACTGGCTCCTATCCTCTCCTTCACTCGTGTTTATATATCCAATTCCTTCCTAACTTTCTACCTATTAATCATCTTTCCTCCTCTTCCATTGTTCTGTGCGGTAGATCATGAGATAGAGAAATAAGGAAGAAGGTGGAAACGATAGGAAGACGTAGTACAAGGGAAGGGAATAAGACAAGACCCACAAACACGCGCTGGGAGCTTCAACGGTATAAGTCCTTTCATCCCCCGTCATCAACCATCGAGTATTTGGCAGGTTTTTGTTACTGTACCGCGGGAGTGTCTCATCTTCTACTACTGCACTGCCGGGAGATGGTATCACTACCTTCCTGATGGTGGTGGTGGCGGCTGTGACACCAGGTGACGGTAAGGCGGAAGACATTAACAACAGGTGTGTGGTAGAGGTGAGGTGGGGCGGGGCAGGGAAGGGGGTGATTGGTCAGATGGGCCCCACCCCTAAGGGAACACAATCCCTCGATAAGATTGGGACTTACTGGGTCCTGCGGTCTATTTGGACTGAGGCTCAATTGACCTGCATTCCATGTGAGGGTGGCAGGTGGGTGGCGGTTACTGCAGGTGCAGGAGGCGGGTAGTGAGGTGGATAGCTGGGTCAGGGAGAGCAGGTAGCGGCCGCCAGTAGTGGTGGACACTGGCTGTTTCAT